CTGATGGTCAGTGAATATCTCAAGTAGCTTGGTTGTACAGTGGTGGTCAGCTTCCGTTATGTAGGGAGACAAGTGTCTGACCGGAATTAAATACAGGAAATAGTAAGCAGTTGACGACTGATGGTCAGTGAATATCTCAAGTAGTTTGGTTGTTCAGTGATGAAATGATTTAGCATTTGTCATATATATTACTGAATAAGAACTATGTGTTCTCCTGTAAAACTTTCACTTTTATTCAACATTTTAAAACTTTTACTCTCAAATTGCAAACATAAAAAAAACCCCATCTTATGTCCATGTTTATGACACTTATTTGATGAATGAACAGAGAACAGATTCTTGCCGTCAATGGTATTATCAATAGGTTATTAAAGGGAAGATTACCAGTGACTTGATATGAAAGGCGTCGTTTCCTGAGGAAAAATGATAGAAATAACTACCTAGCTGTGTTATGAAGATTAGTTCGCCCCCTTTGGACGACATACAGTATGTGGAAGAGTCTTTTTGCCAGTTACATACCTATCGTCGCATTTATTTTGAAACCGCAGTTTGTCAATGCACTCAGAGATGGGGCAATTCAAAATGCCTGATTGTTTGATAGAGCACTGGCTTAGTACATCTAGTACACCCGTCTTAGGTTTAGTTTGTCAATCCGGGGAAAGAACATGTATGACCATCCTGGCAGTGATGTTGAAAGCTACACCAATCCATGAAAGGTCAATTCACACCATGGATATCTATATATAACAGGCCACGAGGGCTATCTAGCTTCATTTAGCCGTGGACCAGTGACAGTGACACATCACCTCAAGTCGCTCCCGTTTTCATCATGAATAATCCACAATACAAACTCTTTGTACCCGATGCCGATAAATGGACACGGTTTTACATGCTAAGGACTGAAGGGAAAGGAGATCCTTATCATTCTATAATGCGTGGAGGAGAAAAATCTGCCATGATGTCTGTCGATCGATATTTGGAACTGTATGACCCAGAGTCGAAGAAAGATAAACCAAAAGAAACCACAGAGCAACCTAAGATTAAGTTTGTTACCCCTACTCAACAAGTGGTCGAACAGGCCAAGGCTCTTATTCAGATGCAGAAAAAGGGGGCTCTAAAGCTGGAAGTTCCTCCCAGATTCCCATGAAGAAACGGAAGACGACTTTTTAGATAAAAGCTGCCTGTAGACATGGTTCCCTGCCATTTAGACTCAGACCACCATGCAGTCAACAACGTGCCCTGTGTGCTATCAGACTTTTTCCAGGACAGACAATATGTTGAGACATAGAAGACAGAAACATCAACAACGCTCTCTTCCTCCTCCTCCTCCACCTCCTCCTCCACACCACATCAACAACTCTCTCCTCCTACTCCTCCTCCTCCTCTTTCATTAATGCCGACTTGGCAACATCATCAGCAGCATCAGCAACTACAGCAGCAGCAGCAGCAGCAACCAGTGCAACCACATTCATCAGAAAGTACTACCCAGTCATTGGAAGAATGTAGGCTGCGACATCCATTCATCATGATCGTCTCAGGGCCAACCTCCTGTGGGAAAACCTACTTAGTAAAACAGCTTCTAGAAAGGATGAACATTAAACCTTATCCTGAACGTATTATATGGCTCTACAAACGATGGCAGCCCTTGTATAACACCATTCAAGCCTGTGTTTATCCATACGTTGAATTTCATCAAGGCATTCCTTCTCACCTCGAAAAGGATGTGTTTCTGGACCCCCATGTTGTGAACTTAACGTCGACAGCGAGCAAAGACCCATGCATTACAGATCTGTTTACGGAAGGAAGTCATCATCGTAATCTCTCAGTGATCGCCTTGAACCAGAATTTGTATTACAGTAAGGATCCCACACAACAAAGAAACTGTCATTATCTGCTTCTGTTCAACAACCCTATCGATCAACAACCCATCATTACTTTGGCGAGGCAAATGTATCCAGGTAACACAGACCATTTCATGGAGCCATTTCAAAGGGCCACCAAGAAACCTTATGGATACTTGTTGGTTGATCTAAAACCCCAAACACCTCCCCATATGCGACTTTGTCCTGCATTCAGTTTAAAAAGAGGCCTCCAAGCTAGGACAATTCAGTCCGAGTTAGACGTTCAGAGTGAGCAGACGTGTGAAGAAAACCTCTCAACCATGCCATCTTGTGATGACTGTGGACTCGTGTTTCAAGAAGTGCATGATTTGCAAAAACACAGAAGAAACTGGTGTCCCAAAAGTCTTCAGTGGGTCCACCTGGAATACCCCAAGTGAAAAGGAAGTGGGAGGAAGACGATAACTTCTCTTCTGTGAAGAGACCACGTCCTCTGTCAGATTGTGACTATTGTGGTCAAGTGTTTAGCAATAACCACAACTTACAAAGACATTTACACGATAAACAATGTCCTGAAATGGAAACTGATGGGGATGATGAATCGTTAAACGATGTCACACATGGCAACAGGAAAAATAAGATGGCTGATCTCGAAGAGCAAGGTATAAGACAAATGTATTCACGTACGCGTGAGCTGAATGAAGACTTTTTGGATGAGAAACGACAGCTGTACATGAAAAGAGGGTTACACAAAGACATGATTAAAGCCAAACTGAAGAAATTCATCTGGAGCACGTTTAAAGAGACGTATGCCCGATTTATTACTTATCTGTACCATATGCAGTTGGGTCCAAAGACACAAGGAATACTGAAACGAGTACAAGACACAAATAATCTGTATCATGACGTGTTTTCCAAACTGTACCAATATAAGTCTTGGGTAGAAGACTTAATTGATGATGATTATGAAGACATGACATCTGATGAAGAGAGTGAAGGACAGGTGGATGAGGAAGGGCAATAACACAACAGATGTAAAGTAGGCATTTGGGAGAGCTTCTATCCTAATGTCTACTCATTTGAAACGGAGCTAATAAACAATGAAATCTGTATATCTTTCTTGTTTCTTAATGTATTGTACCTGTGAAGGTGCGGGTTACCCTTCAGTAACCCATGCTTCTCGTAAGAGGCGACTAACGGGATCGGGTGGTGAGGCTCGCTGGCACGATTGACACATCTCATCATCATATCCCAATTGGGTAGATCGATACTCATGCTGTTGATCACTGGATTGTCTGGTCCAGACTCGATTATTTACAGACCATATAGCTGCGATATTACTGAGTGCAAGATAAAACTAAACTCACTCACTCGCTTAATGCATTGCTGGTGAATTGTACAACAGTTCGTTGTACAAATCTTTGTTTTACAACTGATAAATAATCCTCCCTATGTCACTGAATACACAGAATACAATTCTTAACACCAGGAGGTCCTAACCTCTTCATACCCCACACACTACAGTCACAAGAAGCTTACACCAGTATTTCATTGTACTGTCTGTGGAATAAGAGCGGCTAACGGCATGTGAGTAACCTATGTGTTACATGATGTCAAATAAGTGTCATAAACATGGACATAAGATTGGTTTTTTTATGTTTGCAATTTGAGAGTAAAAGTTTTAAAATGTTGAATAAAAGTGAAAGTTTTACAGGAGAACACATAGTTCTTATTCAGTAATATATATGACAAATGCTAAATCGTTTCATCACTGTACAACCAAACTACTTGGGATATTCACTGACCATCAGTCATCAACTGCTTACTATTTCCTGTATTTAATTCCGGTCAGACACTCTGTCTCCACCACTGTACAACCAAGCTAACGTGACCATCAGCTGACCAGACACTTGTCTCCCTAGCACCACTTGTCAGCATTTCAACATCACATTGAAAATTATCCATGCCATGTACTCATGATTACAGTCTGATCTTTAAAAGGCGGAAAGGTGGCCGTATGTGACACTACACCACGCTGAAAATTATCACCAACCATGTACACATGAATACAGTATGACCAATAAATTACAATAAAACAATTTCTGGTCAACTTGAACCGGCTAACTGAGCACAGGAAGCCACACACAGGAAGCTAAACACATCAACCCTCCCACGTCCGCACCATCTGTCACCTACTTGAACATATTTGTACACGCATAAGCATAATTGATACAAATGACAGCATTAAATACTTAAAAATGGTGGTCAGTTTTAATGACTGGATGGAGGTGCTTTTAACAAACATAACACCTTACACTATTTCATCCAATCGCGGCTGTCACATGCTTCAGTTACGGCTCAGCGAGCAAGCGATTGTGCTATGTTGAATAGCATAGTGTTATGTATTAGTGCCTATAGACAGCACCCAATTCACGCATATACGGGCCCATATGAATTTTAACAGCTACAACCGTTTATTGTTGACAGAAATGTAAAATACTTGTTCCTTGTGTGACAGCTATATTAAACTTTGATTTAACAAAATGCGCTCTGATATTTTGACCTAATAAATCGCAGCTAATTCCCCTTCATAGTGTGATATTAATTCTATGTTGAACACGTATCATTAGTCTGTCTCACAGTCCCTGAACCACATTATTTTCCCTACTGCCACATGCCCTCTCTGCAGTGCTAAAGCCCTAAATAAAGCAAGTCTAGATTTCCTCAGGTTCTGAATCTCTGGGGTCATTAGGGCTCCTTTTCAATTTAAACGGGCTTGTTTGTTACGATCAAAATTATATATATATATCAGAGACTAAGCATTAGTCTAAGCTGTGTGAACACTCGAGTCAGCAAACTCATACCACTCATAAGATAATTGAATAATAATCACAGACCACTAAGGTGAACCTGAAGGTGACACACACACCTGGGCCGGACTCCCGAAGGAGGGTTGGGTTCAACAATCGATTAGGTCACACAAAGGTCACACCTATGTTACGTCATAAAAAGAAAATGGCGGATATTCTGTCCAACCCCCCCCCCCTCCTCCCCCCCTTACAACATATGCAGGCTGCCATATAGCTGGAATATTGCTGAGTGCGGCGTAAAACTAAACTCACTCAATCTCTAGCTATACAGAAAACTCATTTTCTTCCCCAGAAAGATGAATCTCCTAATTGTGGCTTTGGTAGTAGTGACGGCTGTCTTGGCCGATGATCACCATCACGACTACACCGACCCTTCTAAATTCGCGGACTACCTGAAGGATATACGAAAGAGTCACGAGTTCCAGTATATTCCAATTGAAGAACAAGCACTCTTCGAAAAGCTCGTCTCGGCTGCCGAGCAGGGCAGTACCGAGCTGACGGCCTTCATCAAAGCCCAGACCTTCGACAAGATTATTCGTCTCATTGATTGTATGTCTATGTTTGTCCACACACACTGATATGAATGCTCGGGACAGCCGACAGGCTACCCAATTTATGTAATCACTCAAAACGCACTTTTTAGACTATCTACACACAACATCTCAGATGGGCATGAGCCACTAATATACACACAGACAGTATCTCAGATGGACTCACTGCAACACCGAGAACAAGAACGAGCCTAAACTGCGGATCAGCATTAAAAACATCACAATGTTATTTCAGAAAATGTCCCCAGTTTCAACATCTGTTTTTCTAAACGCCCACGGAAATAACGCTAAACACAGAACAGACAACAAGGTAACAGTTAATTGGCCCCAGAATGTCCGTAACATATTGACACTACCACAAGAAAATAAGACAGAAAGTGTCTATCTACAGAACGCACATATGGAAAAGCAACTGTTTTCGGGATCATCTGATATAGATCTTTACAAGTATGGCAGAAACTGACCCTCTAAGAACTTCCGCATGAAGTTGAAATGTTACACATATGTTTGATCCATCTTCAGACTTGGACGATGATGACATTCCCCACTTTGAAGGTTACCTTGCCTATGTAAGTACCCTGATGCTTTTTGATGATATAGAATCGTAACATCTTAACAGCTGTAAATGTGTGTATTTAACTGTTGCTACTTCTACTGCTGCTACTGCTGCTGCTGCTGCTGCTACTACTACTACTACTACTACTACTACTGCTGCTGCTACTGCTGCTGCTGCTGCTGCTGCTGCTACTACTACTACTACTACTAATAATAATAATAATAATACTCTTCTGTTTTAGCATCTGGGAGGAACCATTTTAGGCGTAAGTAGATTTATGCGAACATTTGTCCCCATGATTTTAAACAGTTATTCTAATGACACTGACTGAAATGGGCTTCACACATTGTACCCACGTGGGGAATCGAACCCGGGTCTTCAGCGTGAACCTTTAACCTTTCACCACCCTGGAAAAAGGAAGATAGTTTTGGGGATATGCAACTGCTTTAATGCCACATTTCGGTGTAGACATTACTACCATTATCAAGCAAGTCATGTGTAGCGTTATCGATCACGTACAGAGCTCTGTCGTGAGATAAAAATACGTGGAAAACTGATATGATACAGAATCAAATGATGAAAGAGACTGACGATGACGTATGTTCGCCACGCCCACTTCGAAGCTTATCGAAAATATAGACTACTGCATTCTTAGATTTTTATATATTCGACTGGGAATATATATTAAAGGCTATTTTGAATTCTTTTAAATTTCGTAACTATTGATACAAACTTTATTGGAAAGTATGTATTTTTAAGAAGACGTAAACCGATAATACAAGCGATTCAGACCTTAATATGAGGAATTTGGAAACATGTCATGCTTGAATTGAAAAGCAAGATGATGGTTTTGGGCGGGTCGTGGCCTAAAGGATTCCATATTGAACATGTGAGGTAGTTCATCACTGTCACAAATACCATAGGCTCAATACAACTGTTTTACCTGAAGTTTTTAAAATTAAATTACTTATAAGTTTAATTTATTGAAATGTGCAATAGCCCGATGGTCAGGAACAAGTACCTGATGTCGAGAATCTGTCTCCGGATCCACTCTTTATTGACGCACTTGCCGAAGTGAAAGACTATATAACGTCAGTGCAAAAGAATACCTAGTCAGTGTATAACAAATGCTTTATCCAACCGATATAACTGTTATAAAGGTTAATGCCAAAGAACTGTCAATGGCAGAGTCGATTGAAATATCCCGACTGTTTCATAAACATGTGTCACGATCAAATAGTTATTACATCGGGTGTTCGCGACACGGTGAGAATGTGCTGCCCCAAAGGTGGCATCCACTACAAACAGATAAAGACAAGGTTGATTTGTTCCCCTGGAAGAAACACAGGATCATAAGTACAAGTTGGCAACCGCATCTCGTATCGTGGTACTTTACTGATGCCTCAAATTGCGAAATTTCTTCCGCATGTCTATCAAAAGAATTTGAAAGTCTTACCGAGGCTATGACCTTGATCAACACATCTTCTGGGTAGGTTTCGTGTGGCGCTGTTTAAAATCTTGGTTGAAAGAGGTGCCAGTGAAAAGCAAACACCAAAAACTGCAGCGGCTGAAATATTTCGAGACACAAAGGGAAAGTTGACTATTGTAAGCTGAAGTCATTTTAAGATTGTTTTCTCTTGCTGAGTCGGCAGATGAATCTGTCCCACTTGTCTTTGTGCGAAGTGGCTGTATGACTGTTGATGAGCGGTATGAAGTCAGCGATATACCCGAATCGTCAAATATGCTTTTGGTCTAATTCAGAGCGGAAAATCCTATCATTCTGTACAAACAAACAGGTCATGTTCAATGGATTTTATGTGGATTTAAAGATTAACATGATATCGTATAACAAAAATATAGCTAATCCTTATAACTTATATGAGGAGTTCAGAAGGACATTTGTTGGTGTCAGTTTTGCTGGAACATATCTAATATCGTTTCTTAATTTGTGTTAAGAAATACTTCTTCATTATCTTGTGAGATCTATAATTTAAACCATAATTAAATAACATGTGTCTAACATCAGGCACACAATTCCTTATCCCTTTTAATTGCCTTGGCATTTTGTAACATTGATATGGCTACCTTTGTACTTCCATTTAAAAATATCCAGTAGTTTCAAACTCGCAGCTGGCTGTGAACAGTTTCCCGTTTCCAGGTTGATTTAAAGCATATTTATCAATTCTTAAACGTCGCTTTATAAAGAGTATGACATATTTTAACTGATTCGAAATCCTTAATGCTCAATCTGTTGAGCCGTACAACAGAAAGGATGCAGTGTTGCCATGAAATGTAGATGAAGTCAGACAGGTATTTTACAATTGCCTGACACGCCTGTGATGATGAGCGATTACGAGGTATACTTAGGAGATAATCCTATTGTGTTTACATTTTTGAAGTGATTATATTTGGTTGAACGCTGCTAAATGTCATTTAAAACCGAACGCGTTAGCGAGCGACATTCTACCATGACATATGCACCATGAAAAAAACGCGTTTTAAATATGCACTCATTCCCCTTGCGTAGTGTTGTTACCTTTGTAAGGGTTAATGAGTGCAAAATATTCCTACGCGCAGTGAAGCGGCTCTCAGAAGTGGTTATTGAAAATTTGTCACTTCTAATTTTTTTAGTAACAGCCAATCGAAAACGAACATACTTAAATGTCATGGTAGAATTATGATTCGTCACTTTCAAATGTTTATCAGAATATATCTATTTTGTCTGCTTCCATTGAAATAACATTTGTTTTCTCAAACCTTACTTCTGAACACCACCAAATACAGAATGATTGTAATTCCTCAAGCTGTGGTTGCTAGCCTAATACATATTTGGACACCAAAGCACCCATTGTTTAGGTGCTACAAACACACTTACTGGGATTTTTCCTTTTATCAGAAACGACAGAGTGGGAGCGACCTGTTTAACTTCTTGAAAGACCTTGAACTGATAAAGAAGATTGACGACGATCTCTCTCCTGCGGACTTGCAGATGTTCTTGCAGCTCGTGTACGCTGCTGAACACAATACCCTCACCCAATACATTAACAAGACCGGCTATGGCAACGTGCTGGAACTTATGGCACGTAAGTATATAATATGCATGCTGTGGACAGGAAAACACAGTATCTACCACAATCTTGTCATGGTATTAGAATGAGATTTAGAGAATTGGCAGCTCTTCAGCTTCATACGATCTGTGTGGAAAATGAGAAATGACAAACATCTGAACCTTTCAGAGGCCCTATTGACACCAGGATGACCCTAAGGCATGGCGTGTTCATTTTACTCCTCGGTGTAAGGATAAAGGATGAGGCTATCGAAACCTCAGCTCAGTTCTCTTCAGCATAATCCGGAAAGCCCTCCCTTTTGTCTGTGCCAAACGCTATCAAGAGCCTCCACCCTTTACTCTGTAGTCTAACGCTGATCTCAACTTTACACTTTAGGCTAACGCTGACCTCAACTGGTTTGTCTCCAGTATAACGCTTTCCTGAACCTGTTCTCACTGATCTTCACAGCTGTTGACGACCCCCCCCCCCCCCCCCACACACACACACACACACACACTGCCACCCCTCACCCCGTGCTCCTGGACATTAGAAGGGGAGAACGTCAATGTCAGTAAACTCATGTTTTTCATATTTGTTGCAGAAATTGATGACGATGAAGCCCACGGCTTTGACCAGTTGATCATCAGGGTAAGGGTAGACACACAAAATTGATGATTTATCCAATCTCAAATACGGTGCAATATGGTAGAACAGAACAATAAAACAGACTGACCACTAGTCATATAGGAGGCTGGGGTCTACGAAATCTACATACTGATATTATATGCATCAACGTTGAAAAGCATCAATTTACGATAAGCAATATAAACTAAGCAGCAAAAGAAACGTCAGTTTGGAATTTTCCTCGCAGAAACGGATAACTGTCAACTCATTTAATGTTTTGATTGTATATTTTTGACAACATCTCCAACTTTACCTGAACAAAGACATTCCTTCCCAAACTCAGAATGGAACCTAGGAAATGGTCTCAAAAACACAACCTGATCTCGGAGATGGTACGGTGTTCTCCATGTTTTTTCATGCAACTCATGCTGCACGTGCTGTTCACAAGGACCAGCCCTATGAAATGCACCCCCAAACCTGGTTGAAACATTCACATCACCACAGCTCAGAGGAACTAGGCGCTAGGAAGACTTGAAGCTGGCCACACTGCACAAGCCGTTGCCAATCACTTCCAGCAACGTTTCCGGGCCACCAACACCACAAATGATAGCCCCCGTACTGGCAGAGCGACAGCACGTACAGAATCCCTTCATGCAGGCATCCGAAACAGCACGCCAGACAGTGGGAACACGCGGAGGACCAATCAGTACTGATACAGTACGCCGACGTCTTAACAGCGGGAACCTCCATTGCCGTAGACCTTACCGTGGACCTATCCTCACCCCTCGACATCGGCGTGAACGTCTACAGTTTGCCCGACAACACCAAAACTGGCGATACAGGCAATGGAGAACTGTTCTGTTCACAGATGAGAGTCGGTACTGCGTATCAACTGCAGATGGCAGAACAAGAATATGGCGACGACGTGGCCAGCGTTACTCAGACCAATGTGTTATGGAAAGAGACTCATGGGGAGGTGCAAGCATCATGGTATGGGGTGGAATAGGCCTGTTCCAGAGAGTGGGTCCTGTGGTGTTCCAGAACTTTGGTCCAGGGAGAGGAGGCGGCATCACAGCGGTGCGCTACATCGACCAAGATCTCAGACCCCACGGCATACCACATTTCGCACGTCACCGGAACAACATTTTCCAGCATGATAACGCCTGGGCCCATACTGCCAGAGCTACACGAGACTTCCTACAGCAGAACGGTATCAACATTATGCAGTGGCCAGGCCTTAGTCCTGATTTAAACCCAATTGAACATCTTTGGGATGAAATTCAGAGGAGACTGAATAATGTCATACGAAGGCCGAACACAGCCGATTTATTGCGCCAGGCCTTTCTCAGAGTGTGGTTCCAGGTGCCAATGGCCTTCATCAATCGATTGGTGCACTCCATGCATAGACGCTGTGCTGCAGTTATTGCCGCTCGTGGTGGTCACGCTAGATACTGAAGTCAAGAGTCTGAATGGACTGCAAACGTTCACTTAATGTCTTGAAATTGTGCTGAGTTATTCATTGATGTGTCAAGATATTGTACACAAAAATGTTTATGATCCGCTCATTATGTCCATTTCTGTAACGATTTGATTACAGTGCCTATCTAATTTTGAATTCGTACTGACGTCCTTTTTGCTGCTGAGTATATAACCACTTTGATGCTTATCGAAACAGGACAGAATTCGTCTGTTTCACAATAGCACATTATGTGTTGATTGTGAAAACAAGCACGTCAAATGATGATCAAATAGAAGAAACACATTTAATGTCATAGAGATCATTTAAAGTACTATTTACCTCGTGACAATGTTAATCAAGTTAGACATGGCAATATCGCAGGAGTTCAAAAGTTTCTGTAAAAATTTAACATATCCTTTGTTCAAGTGGCTGTCTGTGGAACACCTGAATTTAGTCAGCGCTGTCAAAAGCATATTTTGAAAATAGCTACAAGCACTTGACTCGTATATCCAAGCGTTCTCACATCAGATCAGTTGTCACATGATCTCGGACCCCCGTTTCTTTCACACAGCTCGACAGCTAGAATTTAACGTAGAGATGATTTTTTCTACCTAACTGAACATCTGGCCACATAATAAGCCAATATAACCTTAGATGAACGGCATAGTCTTAATAATCTTTTACGAGTCATTTTCCGTATTATATGAAACTCCAAATACGTCTGGTCCATTTAAAGAAGACCGAACATAGGAATTATATGAGAACGACAGTGGGTTTTGATTGGCAGTTTGCTTGGGTCTTATTTTCCATCCTTGCCGTGTTACAGCATCTGGAGTACGAGGCTTCTCTAGCGACCACCGGCAGCGCTGTCTGATCCAGTCGGCTCCATGTAAAGACAGTCCAATATACTGCAGGTAATGCCATTAAAGGCACCTGTTCTATATGACACTGTGTACACACCACCAAAATGCTCAAAGATTATTCGACAGTGAACTGAGTGAAGCTGGTTAAAAGCTATGTTGAATATTGATTTCGTTAAACGATGGCGATGAAGGTTTCGAAGTTTACAAGTTAATAAAAACACTCTGTCACGTGCTGACATCAACATACAGAACCATTTAAACAATTTAAATGTTTCGGACTATTTTGATTCTTTGAGTGGGGTTCGGCAAGGTTGTATTTTAAGTCCTCTTCTATTTGCGTTGTTTGTTAACTAGTTGTATACGGAAATAATTACTTGTGGTGACAGGGGCGTATTTATTGATCCAGAGTTATGGAATTGTATATGCTACTGTATGCAGATGATTTATGTTTGTTTGCAGATTCTGCCATTAGTCTTCAGAGGAAGATCAATGTATTACTACAGTTTTGCAAAAAAATGGGGCTTGTCTGTAAATTTTGAGAAAACAGAGGTGCTAGTGTTTAGAAATGGTGGTAAATTAAGGCGGTATGAATCATGGTACTTTGATGATCATAAGCTAAACGTTTCTACATATTATAATTATTTGGGTTTATTGTTTTCAAATAGACTTTCATGGTCTAAATCGGTTCAAAATCTGGTAAATAAAGCGAATAACGCCTTGTGTTCAGTTAAGGTTTTTGGTAGGAGACTTAAAAATATTTCTCCAATTATTTTGTTCAAAATCTTTTGACGTTCAGATAAAGCCGATAATTTTGTACGCTTCGGAAATATGGGGTTTTCGGAAATGGCATGTTATTGAACAGTTTCACATCAGATTTTGTAAGTATGTGTTGGGCGTAAGTTATACATGCTCTAATGCTGCTGTATTGGCGGAATGTGGTAGAAATTATATTTATGTTGATAGTTTATTACGTGTTATGAAGTATTGGTTCAAACTTTTACGCTTACCAAAGGATAGAAATCCAAAGCAGTGCTATATTATGTTGCACAATTTAGACGAAGTTGATAGGAAAACGTGGGTATATTTTGTCCGAAATACTTTGTTCAATTATGGTTTTGGTTTTGTGTGGGAAGCTCAAGGAGTTGGCAACGAGGAACAATTTTTGAAAGATTTTCATGCAAGAGTTGGTGATTGTCAGAAGCAATTCATATTTTCAGAAATGCACAAATGTTCATCGCTTGATGTCTATTCCAGTATCAAAAGTGTATTTTGCATTGAGCCATATTTAACATTATTGAAATCTAAAGATGCGAGGCGTCGAATAACAATGTTACGAATCGGTGCACTTCCAATATATAAAAATACCGGTAGATTTGATGGAGTTCCGAGGCACCAAAGACTATGTAATATTTGTAATGATAATTTTGTAGAAAATGAATTTCATTTCCTATTTGAATGTAAAATTTATCATGATTTGCGCTATAAGTACTTTAAAGCATTACCAAATTACATAGATCAGCAATACTTTCTAAACACATTATCCTGTACAAAGTTTTCAACACTAACAAATTGTTCTTCTTACATTAAGGAAGCATTGTCATTGCGTTCTTTATACACATAAACCTGATTGTCAAATGCCACTATCTTATAATTACACATGCTTATTTGTATTGTACGTGGGCCTAAGGCCTTGTTACGAAATAAACTTGATTGATTGATGGATTGAGAACCATTGCAAATCTGGGATTGGAATTCACGCGTGCAGACCTCTGGGACTTTCTGTGGAACAAACTCTGCAACGAGGGGCGGTGGGGTAGCCTAATATTTAAGCATCCGCTCGTCACGCCGAAGACCCGGGTTCGATTCCCCACATGGGTACAATTTGTGAACCCCATTTCTGGTGTCAACCGTCGTCATATTGCTGGAATATTGCTAAAGCGGTATAAAACCACACTCACTCACCATAAGGAACGAAACGGCAAATTGAATTACATGTAGATGACTGTGCACCTAACCCCTTCGCGTCCCATATAACTAATGTTTATTCAAATGAGTAATTCGACATCATTCTTTTCTTTACAGACATGCCCATTGCCAGTTGGGAATAAAAATTGTGTATTCAGTGAAAAGAGATCGTTTTTATCATTGTTTATCTTATGTCAAACCCGTGAAGATCAGGGTTAGAATTGATCTTCAGTAACTCATGCTTGTTATAAGAGGCGACTAACGGGATCGGGTGGTCAGGCACGCTGACTTGGGATACATGTCATCGTATCCCAACTCCAGACTCGATTATTTACAGACCGCCGCCAGCTGGAATATTGCTGAGTGCGGCGTGAAACCTCACTCACTCACTCACTCACTCATGTCACTTGTGTGAGATGTCCTGTATCTGTCTCATTAAATAGTACATGGATGATATCCAAAGATACAAGCTTGATATCACAATACCTTCACTCTGTGGTTGCCCTTAAGTTGTCTCTGATGAAACCACCAGATGAACCAACAATCAGCAAGTGTAGGGATCTGAAAGATATTGACGCTGAGGCCTTCAGAGAAGATCTACAAAATTCTGTCCTGGTATCTTCAACCCCGTCGTCTGTTGGTGATCATGGGACATTGTACAACAATACCTTAGCCTCACTTCTGGATAAACATGCTCCGTCGGTGGAGAAGAAAAGACATCAACGTCCAGGAGGTATTAACAGCCAAAATGAGACGACGACGGGCAGAGCATCAGTGATGAAAGTCACGACTGGAGGTTCATAGGCAGATATTTCGCGCTAGCAGAAATCAAACTACCTCTGTAATTGCTAAAGCTAAACGGGGTTATTGCTTGCAGGAGATAGAGAACTGTGCAGGCAAACCAGCTCGTCTTTATAAGTTTATCAGGCAGCTGCCTGATCATACACCGAATGATGAAGTTATACAGGACAACAAAAATATGTCAGATTCAATAAATGAATTCTTCGTCAACAATATTGACGGCTCCATGTAAAGACAGTCCTACATACTGCAGGTAATGCTATTAAGGGCACCTGTTCTATATGACACTGTGTACACACCACCAAAATGCTCAAAGATTATTCGACAGTGAACTGAGTGAAGCTGGTTAAAAGCTATGCTGAATATTGATTTCGTTGACCGATGGCGATGAAGGTTTCGAAGTTTACAAGTTAATAAAAACACTCTGTCACGTGCTGACATCAACAAACCGAACCATTGCAAATCTGGGATTGGAATTCACGCGTGGAGACCTCTGGAACTTTCTGTGGAACGAAACTCTGCAACGATGGGCTGCGGGGTAGCCTAATATTTAAGCATCCGCTCGTCACGCCGAAGACCCGGGTTCGATTCCCCACATGGGTACAATGTGTGAAGCCTATTTCTCGTGTCAGCCGCCGTCATATTGCTGGAATATTGCTAAAGCGGTATAAAACCACACTCACTCACCATAAGGAACGAAACGGCAAATTGAATTAGATGACTGTGCACCTAACCCCCTCGCATCCCATATAACTAATGTTTATTCAAATGAGTAATTCGACATCATTCTTTTCTTTACAGACATGCCCATTGCCAGTTTGGAATAAAAATTGCGTATTCAGTGAAAAGAGATCGTTTTTATCATTGTTCATCTTATGTCAAACCCGTGAAGATCAGGGTTAGAATTGATCTTCAGTAACTCATGCTTGTTATAAGAGGCGACTAACGGGATCGGGTGGTCAGGCACGCTGACTTGGGATACATGTCATCGTATCCCAACTGTGTAGATCGTAGATCATGCTGTTGATCACTGGATTGCCTGGTCCAGACTAGATTATTTACAGACCGCCGCCAGCTGGAATATTGCTGAGTGCGGCGTGAAACCTCACTCACTCACTCACTCATGTCACTTGTGTAAGATGTCCTGTATCTGTCTCATTAAATAGTACATGGATGATATCCAAAGATACAAGCTTGATATCACAATACCTTCACTCTGTGGTTGCCCTTAAGTTGTCTCTGATGAAACCACCAGTTCAACCAGATTCCACCAAGTGTAGGAATATGAAAGATATTAACGCTGAGGCCTTCAGAGAAGATCTAAAAAATTCTGTCCTGGTATCTTCAACCCCGTCGTCTGTTGGTGATCATGGGACATTGTACAACAATACCTTAGCCTCACTTCTGGATAAACATGCTCCGTCGGTGGAGAAGAAAAGACATCAACGTCCAGGAGGTATTTACAGCCAAAATGAGACGACGACGGGCAGAGCATCAGTGATGAAAGTCACGACTGGAGGTTCATAGGCAGATATTTCGCGCTAGCAGAAATCAAACTACCTCTGTAATTGCTAAAGCTAAACGGGGTTATTGCTTGCAGGAGATAGAGAACTGTGCAGGCAAACCAGCTCGTCTTTATAAGTTTATCAGGCAGCTGCGTGAACATACACCGAATGATGAAGTTGTACAGGACAACAAAAATATGTCAGATTCAATAAATGAATTCTTCGTCAACAAGATTGACAAAATTGACTGTCAGCTGACATGGAACAATCACCTCCTGTCGAAATTCCACATTTCACAGGTGAGAGAGTCAATAGGTTTGATTCTTTTTCTGAGGATAAGATCAGAACTATTGTAACCAAATCAAAACCAACATCCTGCTCCTCTGATCCAGTTCCCACCAAGTTCCTTCTAGAAAATCTTGATCTGTTTTTGCCAACTGTAACAGACATTATAAACAAAAGCCTCGAAAGCGGATATTTTCCTCAGGAATTCAAGAACTCTTTTGTTTAGCCTTTACTGAAGAAACCTAATTTGGATAGTAGTTATTTCAAGAATTTCCGCCCGGTATCGAATCTCGCTTTTCTTTCAAAAGTTGTGGATAGGGCTGTCAGTATCAGGCTGAAGGAACACTTGGACAATCACAACCTATTGGACAAGCATCAGTCTGCATACAAACAATGTCATAGTACTGAAACAGCTTTAGTGCAAGTTAGTGATGAGTTGAGACGGAATGTAGACCTCTCCTCAGCATTTGATACCATAGACCATAGTATCCTTTCAAATCTGCTACGGAATTGATGGCATAGTACTGAACAGGATAAGCTCCTATCTCTGTGACAGACGGCAGTGTGTAATGATAGGGAAAGACAGATCTGACAGCAGTACTCTCAAACATGGAGTACCACAGGGATCTGTTTTGGGCCCGTTGCTGTTCCTGCTGTATAGTGGCCATGCTGCCAACATCTAATCAGTCCACAACATGTCGCATCATTCTTACGCACATGACACCCAACTCCTCAAGAAACTACCACTGCCAAATCTAAGTCACTTCCAGAGATCGCAAACTGCACACTAACAAGGGAAATCAAGTCCTGGATGACAATTCATAGGCTTAAACTCCATGCCACGAAGACTGAGGCTCTTCTGGTATGAACAAGTCACCAAATTTCAAGATGTCCCATTAAGAGCCTAACCATCGCCGACGCAGTTGTTCATATAAGCTCATCTGTCAAAGATCTAGGCATATACTTTGATACATCACTGTCAATGGAAACACAAGTGAACAACATCTGTAAGACTGGCTATTTTCATCTCCGCTCCATCAGCAACATTCGTCAATACCTTACAGCTGAAGCCGCCCATGCCTTAGTCCCGGCGCTTGTGAATTCAAGGCTCAACTACTGCAACAACTTGCTGTTTGGGATCAGTCAGAGGCTATTGGATAAGTTACAGAAGGTGCAGAACACGGCCGCACGTATTATCAGTCGGATTCCCAAACATGGCCACATCACACCTGTTCTTAAACAGTTACACTGGCTCCCCATCAAGGCAAGAAGCGACTACTAAATCCTCTGCTTGACCTACATGGCCCGTCACGGACTTGGTCCCCCATATCTCTCTGACCTGCTTACTCCTTACTCAAACAAACGCTGCCTTCGATCATCTAATCAAGAGCTTCTGTTTGTGAAAATTACATTCCTCATGATGCTAAACAGAGACTTAACAGTAAAATCGAAACGAAAAATGTGCCTTTTGGAATTCACTCCCATACAATCTGAAAGTTTCTGATAGTATTGTCACATTCAAGTCAGGACTCAAAACATACCTGTTTTCAATGCATTATTAGGAACTAACTCTATTTGGACGTGTACATATTGCTGTATAAATGTGGGAGACTCTTTTAATCTGTCATTGTTGCGCCTTGAGCACATCTGCTGACTTGGAAAAGGCGCATAAAGAAATCTGCAATATACAAGTACACTGATCAGACGCCCGACCCACTGACACAACACAAGCTATGAAACACAAGTATGAAACATAAGCTATGTAACACAAATAAGTGTGCGTCTTTGTTGTTATTGCTGTCGTTTTCCTCTTTAGTCATCAAAATGACATCCGTTCGTCCAGCAGCCAACGAATACTCTTCATTGTGAAACATGGCCTTTAGTTAGTGTGACACGGATGGAACGTGGTTCAGTTCAAAATCAGACAAAGCTAAGCAGCAATTGAGAGTGGATGGGCGCACAGCGAGTGGGTACCCGGTAGTATAAGAAGGTATTGATGTGAGATTAACCTTCTACTGCAGGATAGGTAACTGGAATTTAATACTCCCCAGGAAACTGAAAATGACATTCCAGAACACTTTGTCCCACTGTCATGACGCTGAAGAATGCTTGATTTTGATTCGCAATGATGCCATTATGTTTAGGTATCTGGCTCTAAAACGTTCCTCAAAATTAACGACCCTTTTCACACATAAAAGCATATGTGAATTAACTGATCTATCAATAACCGATCAATTCATACAATAAACTTCCCTAAATGGTACACTTCACATTATCAATAAAACTGAGCTAAAATGTAACATGTGGTTCTGTTGGGTATTGTCAGGCAGAATATCACCAGGTTAATATTGGAAACTCAGTACCGGGCTGTTGGGACTGTTTCGTGGACTCCACATGGAAATGGGAACTGGGAAACAAATAGTGTTCAACTGGTTCGTCATTCTGAATTATTTCCAACAAATTTGGTACATACAGACAAACAAACACTTTATTCGGTAATATACGGCCTTATGGCCCATTTTACAGTTAATATATAATGTTGCAACTGCATGTATAACAAGAGGATTGTGAGAATTTAATAAATTTACCATTAACATATTGTTTTTATGGACATTTTTAATGTGTGGAAGATATTTCTCTCTCAAATCTTTATATTTATCACAAACTAATAATACATGGAATTCATCTTCAATAAAACCCAATTTACAGTTTGTACATTTAATTAGGTCAATATCGTCTTGTTTATACCTTCTGGAAAAATTGACATTAAAATTGTGTAGGGAAAGTCTAAATTTACACATGGCTCTTATCAAATCCTTATTTTCTAATGATGTTAAATACTTCTCTGGTTCTATAGCTGACTTAATCGAATTATAATGACATTAAAAGAATGAAGATGAAATACTATTGTGCCAGGTTTGATAATACATATCTTGTATTGGTACATACGCACAACTGTATAGTAATGCATTATTTCTGTAAGCCTTCCATGGACATGTCAAAGTTGAGTTGTGCACTATTTACCACTGTTAGAGAAATTACACATAAACCTGAAACAGTTTTCGTCAATTACCTTTTGAAAGAACTGTGTACTGTTTAACCATACTTCAAACCAAGTATCATTACATGGAATTGATAAATAACATGACTAATATGTAGTACTTTTTCATCCTCTGTGAGACCCTTTCGGAACTTACTCAGACAGATGACATTTTCACATACCAGGGATAGCGCGTTCAAAAGGACTACCTTTTGAATCTGTTAGAACAAAGGAGAAAATGTGCTCAGTTTCACTTGAAATAAGTGGTATATAATGTAAACTATGATTACCTCAAAACATTGCAAAGATCCTAGTTAGAATTGGTCTCAAGCAACACATGTTTGTCGTAAGAGACGGCAGACAGGACTGTGTGGTTGGGCTTCTTGACCTGGATGTTTCTTAATCAGAGGAAGTTGACTGTTGTTATGTTGAGATCCTCTGGTTGTGTCTCGCTCAAAACTAGTTTGGGTACATTGGTGAGAACTGGTCGTGAACGTGAATAAGAGCAGATTAAACAACTGGAACAGGATTTTGTGAATGACGTTATTTATCAGTAAACATGACAGCTCCATGTGATGCAAACGGTTTATGTTTCATTCATGTGACTGGTGTAAAATGTATATGTATACAGTGAACTACATTTATAGTGAGTATGTAAATATTTATCGTCACATCGGCAATATTTCAGACATATCGTGACGAGAACAATTGATTATTGTATTACAGAACAATAAAATTAGAAATTAAAAGCCTGTAGACCAAGAACAGTAAAACTGCCAGTGTATCACAGATAGTAAAGTAAAACTAGCATGTTATCATAAACGAGAACAATACGATATAAAAACAAGCTATGGATTGTCAACAACTGAAGGTAGATCACCATACTAAGGACCATGGGGATTTACAGTACATTTGCTACCTGCATGGACCCTAGCTAGAACTACATTTATAACGAACTGGTTAATAGTGTCTATAATGTAGTCGAAGTGCTTATAACGACGTACGATCATAACGTGGTCCTTCTGAGTTTGATATTACCATAGTTTACTTACTGTAGGTAGAGTCAGGCAATCGGATTTACTGATTCTTATTCTCAAAATATTGTAGTTCATTGTAGTCGGAATATTCCGAAGCATTATCAAAGTGTGGCTCGTATTTGCATAGAGCCACAGCGCTATGACAATTTGTCAGCTGAAGGACTTTATGTCAGTGCACTATGCTGAGTATTCAGCCCTACTTTTTAACACAGATGATCTAGCAACATGTTGTAATGAAACAAGTGTATCTTGTGTATGACAGAGATTTTAATGTTTAACAAAGACATACTTGACAACAGATCCTAAAGACTCTATGATATGTAAACTCGACGTGCGGTATTCCGTAGACAATACATGCATATAGGTCATGGTGTGACGCACATCATATATTCGTCGCCTTGCCTAATCTTATCTGTGTATTCCATAGACAATACATGCATATAGGTCATGGTGTGACGCAAATCATATATCCGTCGCCTTGCCTACTCTTATCTGTGTATTCCATAGACAATACATATATAGGTCATCGCACATCATATATTCGTTTGCCTAATCTTATCTGTGTATTCCATAGACAATACATGCATATAGGTCATGGTGTGACGCACATCATATATTCGTGGTGTGACGCAAATCATATATCCGCCTTGCCTAACCTTATCTGTGTATTCCATAGACAATACATGCATATAGGTCATGGTGTGACGCACATCATATATTCGTACCTTGCATAACCTAGGTCTGTGTATTCCATAGACAATACATGCATATATATAGTCATGGTGTGACGCACATCATATATTCGTCGCCTTGCCTAATCTTATCTGTGTATTCCATAGACAATACATGCATATAGGTCATGGTGTGACGCACATCATATATTCGCCGCCTTGCCTAATCTTATCTGTGTATTCCATAGACAATACATGCATATAGGTCATGGTGTGACGCACATCATATATTCGCCTCCTTGCCTAATCTACATATCTGGTGTGATTCCATAGACAATACATGCATATAGGTCATGGTGTGACGCACATCATATATTCGCCTCCTTGCCTTCTTATCTGCCTAATCTTATCTGTGTATTCCATTAGACAATACATGCATATAGGTCATGGTGTGACGCACATCATATATTCGCCTCCTTGCCTAATCTTATCTGTGTATTCCATAGACAATACATGCATATAGGTCATGGTGTGACGCACATCATATATTCGCCTCCTTGCCTGATCTTATCTGTGTATTCCATAGACAATACATGCATATAGGTCATGGTGTGACGCACATCATATATTCGCCTCCTTGCCTAATCTTATCTGTGTATTCCATAGACAATACATGCATATAGGTCATGGTGTGACGCACATCATATATTCGCCTCCTTGCCTAGTCTTATCTGTGCATATAGGTCATGACGCACATCATATATTTGCCTCCTTGCGCTGATATATATGTCATGGTGTGACGCACATCATATATGCCTAATCTTATCTGTGTATTCCATAGACAATACATGCATATAGGTCATGGTGTGACGCACATCATATATTCCTCCTTGCCTGATCTTATCTTGTATTCCATAGACAATACATGCATATCATGGTGTGACGCACATCATATATTCGTTGCCTTGCCTGATCTTAGATTCAATACATACATATATATATGTCATGGTGTGACGCACATCATATATTCGCCGCCTTGCCTAATCTTATCTGTAGACAATATTCCATAGACAATACATGCATATAGGTCATGGTGTGACGCACATCATATATTCGCCTCCTTGCCTAATCTTATCTGTGTATTCCATAGACAATACATGCATATAGGTCATGGTGTGACGCACATCATATATTCGCCGCCTTGCCTAATCTTATCTGTGTATTCCATAGACAATACATGCATATAGGTCATGGTGTGACGCACATCATATATTCGTCGCCTTGCCTAATCTTATCTGTGTATTCCGTAGACAATACATGCATATAGGTCATGGTGTGACGCACATCATATATTCGCCTCCTTGCCTAATCTTATCTGTGTTTAAATTGTTGTACATAAACTGAAACTTTACTAAAATATGTGACAGGACATGTTCTTCTAGATAACAGTTGGGATTGGCTGACGTCAAGTCTCAGCCAGTCAGCATTATTGTGACGGTACGAAGTTACATTTATGCAATAAAGGTTCGAATATTAAATACCAGCGTGGTTGAATACGCTGAATAATTACCTATCCCAATGTCTCTTTATAAGGAGTGATTGGGTGGTCGAATGGGTGCCCGAGTGGGCGGGTGAGTGAGTGTGTGAGTGAGTGAGTGAGTGTGTGGGTGGGTGAGTGAATGAATGTGTGAGTGAGTGAGCGCTGGGTGGGTATTTTTGTGAGAGTGAGTGAGTGAGTAAGGTTTTATGCCACCTTGATATTGTTGCGATACTGACACTTGTGCCAATTACATTCCTCATAAACAGAGATTTAACAATAAAATCGAAACGAAACATGTGCCCTGTATCAAGAATTCGAACCAGCGTTAGATGGTCAGGTGAGCTTCCAGAAGCCTATCCTGTTTCTTATCATAGTATAAATAGGGGGAGCGAGTGACTGAAGGTAGAGTAGTCTTCCCAGCAGTGAAACACGACAGGTATTGGGCTTCTTACTCTCCTACTGTGTAAAATCTAAACTGTTTTTTTCTTTCTCATTATAATGTATTGTTTGGTGAAACCAATATCCAGTTGCCCTGTAATATGAAATTATTCTTGATATTTTTTGGGTTAACGCAAATTTACAATAGTACTATATATTGTGGATTTTTGGAGCACCGTTTTCAGGTAAGGCGCACTGATTTTTCACACTTCATAAGGAAAGCTGTGTAAAAGATACTTTGCCGTTCATTAAGTATAAACGTCTATTTGTCGTGCTAGACAAGAACTAAAATTGCCTAGATCGTGATATCGTCTTCGAGTTGGATTCTTGCAGTCCGATGAGATGCATTCAGGTACCTCAGACTTCTTTCTTATCAAAAGGATTATTTAATTTCAAATGTTTATTGCATGAAAGGTCATAGGCCGGTAAAGGTGCAAAGGACACAATATACATGATATTTTTTTAAATACATAGCATTTCATTTCAGTCCGTTTCTGCCCTTGAAGGAACATTTGAAGGAATATTACTTTAGATTTTAACATTTAGCCTTGTACACCCAACTCGAGCACGAGCAAAGTGGGTTGCGAATTGGTCTAATTGGTTAAATATATCCCCGCCTCAAGGCTAATTTATAATTTGCATAGCATGCATATTTAGTTCTAGATGCTAATATATTTGTCCATTCGTGAATGTGCATAGATCTTTCAGTCTGGTTTGAAGTTTTAAAGAAAACTATTTGTACATCCAACGTCTTGGTAGACCCAAGCATAACCAAGACCTGAACTAAACATGAGGTATGTCTAACATGTCTAACGTTTCCCAGTTCTGTATACCAACTGAATAAAAATTAACTGACATTACGTAAACATTACGCGGAAATCTAAGACACCATTTATCTATTTTGTTTAAACACAACTGCAGTTGCTGTTCAATAGTATGCATATTTTTACCACGACAAGAAATATTAAAATCATCCACAAAAAGTGATCCATCGATTGAATCATTTAAAACCTTGGATAAACTGTTGATCTTAATGCTAAATAAAGTGACAGACAAAATACTGCCTTGTGGGACACCCTGATCCTGATTGTAATGATCAGACAGGGTAGAACCCACGCGGACTTGAAATTGTCTGTCATTTAAAAAGTTAGCTATCAATTGAGGCCAACGGCCTCGCAATCTGAAGCAATGTAAATCTTTTAAAATGCCATATTTCCACGTCGTGTCATATGCTTTTTCAAGATAAAAAAAGATAGGCACAGCGTGTTGCTTATTAATTAGAGCGTTTTTAACAAATGATTCCATACGCACTAGGTGATCGACAGTACTTCTGTTTTTACGGAAACCACATTGTATATCTGTTATAAGGTTATTTGTTTCCAAGTACCAAACAAGTCGATTATTTATCATGCGTTCCATGGTTTTGCAAACACAGCTAGATAGTGAAATCGGTCGATAATTGGACGGATCCATATGATCACGTCCAGGTTTAGGTATTGGTACTACTATGGCGTCACGTCATGAGGAAGGAAATTTCCCTGACGTCCAAATATCATCAAAAATGTGTAAGAGCGTCTCTAAACATGATTCTGGTAAGTGCTTCAGGAGTTGATAATGCTCAAGAGCAGTATGGAGTTCATAAATAGAAAATGTTTCACTATAATCTTCCCCATTATCTGAATTGAAATTAATAGTTTTCCTTTCTTGTTGTTTTTGATATTGTTGGAATTTAGGCACATAATTAGAAGAGGAAGAGTGTTGAGTGAGAGTTTCACCAAGTTTATTCGCAATATCTATTTTATTGATAAGTAATTGATCTCCATGTTTAAGATGATGGACACTAGATTTGTTACCTTTACCTTTAATTTTCTGGACCATGTTCCATACCTTGGACATGGGCGTTCGACAATTTATTTTGGATACATAATTTTGCCAAGATTGGCATTTATTCTGTTTAAAGGTACGCCGCGCTTTAGAATTTAACATTTTAAATTTATTTAAATTATGCACCATAGGATGGCAACGGAAATAATGTTCTGCTTTTTTCCTTGCCTTGCTAGCTTGTTTGCACTCATCTTTGAACCATGGTTTTCGGATATGTGGAATTGCAGAGGACTGTGGTATACACTCATCAGCTATGGTATTCAGTTCATCAAAAACAGTTGATAGCATCAGGAACGTCAATAAAAAGTTCAGGTTTAAGTTTTGTAGCACACAGTGTTTCATATAAAGCCCAGTTAGCCTTTTTTAAAATTCCGCCTTGATGATGGAGGTACATCAGATGGGGTTACAGATTTTAGTATAGTAGGAAAATTGTCACTTCCACAGAGGTCATCGTGGGCTGACCATTCAAATTCATTTAGTAGTTCTGAATTTGTGACTGACAAGTCTAGAGCAGAATAGGTTCCTGTACCGGGGTGTAAATATGTGTTGGAACCATCATTATAAATACATAAATCATTATCTGAACAAAACTCCTCCAGTAATTTACCTTTAGCGTTTGTATTTGCACTACCCCAGAGTGGGTTGTGCCCATTTAAATCTCCCATAATAATACAGGGCTTCGAGAGTTGGTCACAAAGAGCTTGAAGATCAGTTTTGTGAAACGTTGAAGAAGGAGATATGTAGAGAGAACATAATGTAAACGCAACGTGCAAAGTTAGTCGCACTGCAACAGCCTGAAGATTAGTAGTAAGTGCAACAGGGATATGGATAACGTTCTGTTTGACTGGGATGGAAGATCCTCCAGTGGCCCTGTCACCCGGAGGTGAAAAACAATGATATGCCTTGTAATCACGCAGGTCAAAGGTGTCTGTCTGTTTTAAATATGTCTCCTGCAGACAGAAAGCTGATGGTGTTAAATCCTGGACTAAAAGCTGCAATTCATTGAAATTAGTTTTGAGTCCTCTGCAATTCCATTGTATACTATTATTCTGATAACCTATCTATTGGGGGGATTTATTGGGGATCTACCCCGCACTTTTTGATGGGCGACAAGCTGTGTGCCCTACAACGGACGTTTTCGGACACGTCCATATCCTCAAGAGATCCATATTTGTTGAATATTTGAATTTGGGGCTCTGCCACTGAGTTTTTTGAAGAATCTGGCTTTTTACTTTTGGGTTTAACGAGATCTTGTTGAGACTTTTGACATTTGAAGCACCTAAGAGGGTTTGGAATGTATGTCTCAACATTGAGGTTACAATAACCTGCCTTCGGTGATTTTGGAGCATTAGGTAAAGAAAAGGAAAACAGATATGTGTTGGTTTTAATGGTGGTATCATTTTTACGTGTTGAGAAACGTTTAACATATAGTACACCCTGATCCTCCATCTCGGAGACGATATCAAGTTCCGACATGTCAGCCTGCAATCGATTCCCTTGCTCGTGTTAAGTGTTTTGTGGGCCGTGACGGTAAACGGAATGCCAACAAAAGTGTCAGTGTTCAACAGGTTGGTGGACTGTTGTCTTTTGCTGCACTCAATCAACAGCGAACCAGAACGTAATCTTTTAATGTTCTTTACATCGCCGGCAATGCCTTGGATACCCTTAGACACAGCAAAAGGGTTTAACTTCAATGGTGTGTTATCTTTGGTGTCAATGACAACAAAACGGGGCCAGTAATCAATTTGTTTGGGCAATCTGAGGTCGTTGTCATCAGGATCATTTTTCAAGAGGACGTTTGCTTTTTTTTGTGGGGGTTTCATAAGCCATGGTTAGTGTTTAGACTTCATTATCCGAGCTCCCCACCCACCACGGAGTATCACAAGGACAATGCTAAAAACAAGCGGGTCTCCGACTTGCAGCACCAAGGATACTCGGATGATATACTCAAGCAGAAAAACTAAAAATTAATTTTTCCACCAGATTGGCCCATGAGCCACCGCCTTCTGACACCAGCATCTAGGCAAAATTTCACAATTTTGAAAATCCATATAACGTATAGTAAATACACAAAAACAAAAACATGTCAATATTGTTTCCAAATAGAACCAAGCCAAATAATAATAGAGCAATGAAATTTAGTGCTCAGGGCTCGGCATGACCAGCCGATTGATTGAACCGGGCCCATTCAACCACCCGTCTAGGTGAAGTAAGGTCCGAAGTGGTGTGTTTGACAAAGGAACACTGTTCCTGAAACCAGTGCCCTCAACCACCAGAATCCCGTCCTCCACCGACACAGGGGCGCAACCCACGGCAAACAGGTTGCTAAATTCGCCCTAAGGCCAGCAATGGGGTGCTGTGGACCAAATATGCCCCCGGGTATATACGGGGGCTTGAAGAGCGCTTAGCGTTACCCAACACCCACCACGAGGAGGTGGCTCTTCACGGGGTGTCATATATCTTATAGATGTACTATATATCTATTATAAAGTGTGTATATATATATATATATATCTATTATGAAGACACTTCACAGTGCCTGTACCGTGTCTGAGTGCTCGCGGGCCCCCTGGATTACTATAGTCACATTCTGTATCATACCTTTACCTTTGAAGTGTCTCTAGCCCTAGAATTCCGCATAAATATAGAGGCAGCATGTAGCAAAGCAAGTGAAAGTGTAGATACATAATTATCAATACTGATATTTATCAAGTCAGTGGCACAGATCAGTTCAGATCAGAATGCCATCTATCACAGAACGCTCGACCCCTGCATACCGTTCCAGACGTAAAATGTTTGTTCAGGGTGCACATATTGTGCAGGTAGTAAGTGCCATGAGTGCGACGTCGGTGTAGGTACTAACACCGTTATCAAGTAAGGGATAACGCTGTTAGTACCTACACCGAAACGTCCCACTCATTACAATAAAGAAGTTGACTATCAATAAAACTTGGTTTTCCTTTGTCTATACAATTTCTAAAAATGCCTCTCAAAGAAGTTTTTCATTGATAACATATTTGTGTAATTGGGGGGTAAAACATTTAGCCATACCCATGGGCACCAATTGTGCTCCCATCCTTTCGGATATGTTTCTTTATGCATATGAAACAAAATTTCTGCTTGGGTTGGCAAAATCAAACCAGGGTAATTATCTTAAGTAGTTTAACTTAAGATTTAGGTTTATGGATGAATTGATATCGTTCAATAATCATCAAATAGACAATTCCCTTCCACTGATTTACCCACCTGAACTTACCCACCTTAAATTAAGGTGACAAGACAGTGAGACTGCCTCAACCGTTTCATATTTAGATCTATACATACAGATTCAGAGAGACAAAACCTCTCCACAAGACTGTAGGACAGAGAGGGATGATTTCAACATCCCAATAGTCAACTTTCCCTTCATGTCGAGCAATAGCCCCAGCCTTTGGTGTTTACATTTCACAACCTTTGAGATACAATTGAGCATGTCCTTTTCACCAAGATTTCAAAGAGCGTCATATCATTCTTGCTCAGAAGTTGTTTGACCGAGGTTACAATATTCAAGGCAATAGTAATGTTTTCAAAAAAAAACTATGTGGAGGACATTTCGAAATTTGCTACCAAAATGATGTCCGATGCAATTCCCTATTTTGATTTGTACCTTACGTTCCCGAATTATTTCTGGTGAACAACGGACTTGACTTTCCATATGTATAAGACGGGTGCCACGGGTGGGGCAGGATACGCTTACCTTTTCGCGAACACCTGGTATCATCGCTATTTCAAAGTGATTTCATAAACACATGCTCTGTCATCGTATCACATGGTGACAATCATTGGCTTGTCTGGTCCAGACTCGATTTCAGACATCATGCAGCTGTAATACTGCTGAAGCATATGTATGCTTATGATATGGTCACAGCTGTACACTCGACTCTGCCTTTAACGAAATTCATTTTCTTCCTTAGTGCAATGAAGCTTCTACTTGTTGCTGTGGTAGCAGTGACGGCTGTCATGGCCGACGATCATCACCACGATCACCATCACGACTACACCGACTCCTATAAATTCGCTGACTACCTGAAGGATATAGAGCAAAGTCACGAATTCTTCAGTATGAACCCAACTGAAAAGCTCCTCTACAGTGAACTCATCATGGCTGCCGAGAAGGGCAGTGCCGATCTTACAGCCTTTATCAAAGCCCAGACCTTCGACAAGATTATTCGTCTCATTGATCGTATGTCTATATTTGTGTTCGTTTCCATTCTCATGGAGCTTTAGAACAGTTGGTATCCCTAACCAGTTCTTTCAGTCATTTGCGATACCTTGTATGGAGTACACCGATCCCTCCTTTGGATTGGAATTATGTACAAACTACACACACACACAAACGCACACACGCGCGCTTATTACACACATTCTCTCAGATGGACACACGTCACTTCTTACACACAGTCACTCAGATGGACACACGTGACTTCTTACACACAGTCTCTCAGATGGACACACGTCACTTCTTACACACAGTTCCTCAGGTGGACACACGTCACTTCTTACACACAGTCACTCAGATGGACACGTGTCACTTCTTACACAGTCTCTCAGGTGGACACGTGTCACTTCTTACACACAGTCTCTAGGATGGACACAAGTCACTTCTTACACACAGTCTCTCAGATGGACACAAGTCACTTCTTACACACAGTCACTCAGATGGACACGTGTCACTTCTTACACAGTCTCTCAGGTGGACAGAAGTCACTTCTTACACACATTCTCTCAGATGGACACGTGTCACTTCTTACATACATTCTCTCAGGTGGACACACGTCACTTCTTACACACAGTCTTTCAGATGGACACACGTCACTTCTTACACACAGTCTGTCAGATGGACACACGTCACTTCTTACGCACAGTCTCTCAGGTGTACACAATTTACTTCTTACACACACTCTCTCTCTCAGATGGACACACGTCACTTCTTACACACAGTCTCTCAGATGGACACAAGTCACTTCTTACACACACACTTTCACAAATGAACGTAAGTCTCTATTTACTCACTCCTACTCAAATGGGCACAAGTCACTAAATGCAGAGCCAAGACTCAGATCAAGAAATAGTCTGATAATACTGAAATGATAATCTGAACTTATGACGGTATCTATGTTTCATATACACACTGACATATACGATATAATGATTCTGGGGGACAAACCAGATCAATTATATCAATTTCATCTCGAAAAACGTTTATGGAAAAATAGAAATTAAGAAAGAAAGTGTATGTCTACAAGTGTATTAACACGTTATGAAACAAGATATTTTATCCCCCATATATAACCTTTGGGGCATAATATGTCATCATTAAAAAGCTTATATAAATCAATATATACTGGTATAGTATTCACAAATATTAAAGAATCTGACATCCTGGCAGGTATAACAACCCTTATCTTTATACTCGCTTCCAACATCCATGTGGCACATATGATTCCTATATCTTCAGATCTTGACAAGGACGACATTCCCCACTTTGAAGGTTACCTTGCCGCTGTAAGTATAGTGATGCTTATTAATCATATAAACTCGCATCAACTTAACAACTGCAAACGTGTGTATTTGACTGCACCTCCTCCTCCTCTTCTTCTTCCTCCTCCTCTTCCTCCTCCTACTACCACCATCACCAATCACCACCACCATTACTACTACTACAACTACTGCTACTACTACTACTACCCCTACTACCACTACTACTACTACCACCACTACTACTACTGTTCTTCTGTTTCAGCATCTGACGGGAGGAAGCATATTCGGGGTAAGTGTGAACCTTAGTCCTGTTTTCAATCAGTCATGAAAGGATAAATATACTGCAGTATGTGACAAAAAGCAGCAAAGCCTTTTCAAAAATCATAAGAAATCACGTCTGTACGATGCCTACTTTATCATGAGCAACCGTTCGTAAATCATTATCAAATAGTGATGATAACAGGTGTTCGCAATAGGATGAAGAACCCTGTCCAAGGGTCGATACTCTGTACAAACACATGGAAAGTGTATGATAATTGTTTATCCGAAAAAGAACATATGGTTTAAAATAGGGAATTGCATCCTTTTGTCACTGATACGCTGAGTTTGGATATTTACTCTGCATGTGTACTATAAAATTTTAGAAAACTGTATTTACCCTGTAACCCTTCTTGGCAAATGCATATGACAGCCTAGTTAAAGTTTGGCAGAAAGAACCTGCTTGATTTTTCCACAAATTCTGTGCCATGTAGACACCTGTAGTTGCTGGGACACTTGCTGGATATAACATATATAGCTGGGGAGGTTGAGTACTGGAACGCTGAAATCCTTCCCACTTTCAGACAATCTTGCAGATCGTATTCTGTCAGTCTTTATCGTTATGAACCGGTGCAGATCTGGGTTAAAATTAGTCTACAGTAACCCATGGTTGTCGTAAGAGGCAACAGACGGGATCGGGTGGTGTTACATGTCATCGTTTACCAATTGCGAAGGTCAATGCTCATGCTATTGATCACAGGATTATCAAGTCCAGATATCGCTGGAATATTGCTGAGTGCTGCGTTAAACAACAAACCAACCAATCATCTTTTTCTTCGTACATAGATCTGTATAGCGTTATGAGAAGGTGTTCTTGTTAATGTTAAGGTCACATTAATTAACTTTTTGTTATTATAGGTCACAAAAGTTTGAAGCACTGGGTGTGATTTGAACTCGCATCTTGAACTTGAGCTGTGTAATTTCACCTGTTAAGAGTAAGCTGGAGTAGCCTACCTTTGGTTGTTTGTTGCCTCCGGTCTTTTGGCGTTCTTGTGGAAAGTTCTGGAAGGATTGTAGTGAGATGTAGCTGCTGCTAGAGAATTCGAGGATTGTGTAATAGGTATATGTTGATTGGTTGTTGAGATGTTCGACACGACTTTGAGGACTGCTTTGGATTTACGCACATCTGTCTGATAACATTGACGTTTGAAGACCATTGACTGTCATTGATTGTCAGTTTCAACATTCTTCAATCAGTACATCGACAAGAGTAAAGACTCCGGTAACTATAGACATTTAGTTAATATTTCAGATATGTGACCCGATAGTATTGAATCAGCTATCTATACTATCATTCATTGTAACCTTGTTCATTCTTTATTCAATATATTATTGAATACTATAGACATGTCTGTATTTTATTTTGCTGGTTTAAAGGTGACTCACAAACCTTTTGTCACGGCAATTTCTAAACTGTAACAAATAGGGAAAACAGATGGTGTGGTCTCACTAATCTTCTATGTGTTCACAGGGTAAATCAGTGGAAGGTAATTAGCTGTTATTGATATCAGATCATCCCTATTCCTAATGCGTGTGTTAAACGTCTTACCCAACCCTTTTTTATACCCTTTTTATACCCCGGCATGTAAGCGGGGGGGGGGATATAGTCGTCGCCTCGTCCGTCTGTCCGTCCGTCCGTAATAATTTTTGTAACTCCAAGCCATTCGATATTTTTCAACAAAAAATTGTAAATATATCAAACAGAACCTACGGTGGTGCCTTTTGCTATTTACAGATTTTTGGCCTTTTTATTTTTCTCAGTTTCCGTGGAAACGTTTTGGACTCAGTCTTAAAGGGAGGGTTGGGCTTCGTTTCCGGAGCATAACTCAGAAACCGTTCAGTATTTTTCTGCAAAACTTGGTAGATATATCAAACAGAACCCAAAGTGGTGCCTTTTGCTACTTACAGATTTTTTGTGATTTAATATTTTCTGGGTTTCCATGGAAACGATTCGGACTTAGTCTCAAAAAGGAGGGGTGGGTTTCGTTTCCGGAGCACAGTTCGAAAACTTCTTAATATCTTTCAACAAAACTTGGCAGATATGTGAGGCAGAGCCCAAATTGGTGCCTTTTGCTCTTTACAGATTTTTGGCATTTGTATTCTTAGTCTCAAAAGGGAGGGGGTAGGTTTCGTTTAAGGAGCACAACTTGAAAACCGTTCAATATCTTTCAACTGTACTTGGGAGATATATGAGACAGATCTTGAAGTGATGCCTTTTGCTATTTACAGATTTATGTCATTTTTATTTTTCTCGGTTTCCATGGAAACGATTCGGACTTAGTCTTAAAGGGAGGGGTGGGCTTCGTTTCTGGAGCACAACTCAAAAACCGTTCAACATCTTTGAACAGAACTTGGCAGATGTTTTAAGGCAGATCTTCAAGTGGTGCCTTTTTCTATTTACAGATTTTTGGCAATTATTTTTTTCATGATTTCCATGGAAACGATTTGAATTTCAAAAAAAACTTTAAGTCACAGATGATTTGTCATTTCAAATATGTTGGGGCCGGGGGATATGTCAACTTCTGATGACTCTTGTTTACTTGTCCAATTCCGATTAGTATGTAGAGAGTGAGTAAGTGGGGTTAGCTTTACAACACTTTTAGCAATATTCCAGCAATATCGCCGTGGGTGACACCAGAAATGGGCTTCACACATTGCACCCATGAGTGCTATGCTACAAATTTTCCTGAATCCCCGAAGGTATAGAAGTAACTTTATACTTCACTACATTTTGAGACAAAAGCCCAATTGATCAAGGTCTTAAGTATATTCCTACCTATGTCATGTGGGATACAAAGTCAAATTTGAGCTAGGGGTGAATATTTTGTGTTTTTCAGAATCCATATGACATTATTCCACTTGGCTAACATACTTTCTGTAAATAATCAGTCCTTAATTAAATAAAGGACTGTGACTCATCTCTGAGACAGGGATGTGGTGGTTCATGTCTATGACAGAAATATATATCACGCTAAAAAAACGTATATCTAACAGCTATTCCTTTTTGATAGATAAACATAATCCGTAACTTAAAAGAAAGAAGTATCTAACAGTTAGAACTCGTTCAGTAATTCTTCGCATATTTCGTATGGTGGACTAGAGATTACTTTTATGTTCTTACTAAACGTTAGTGTGTTATAAGTACACACGTGGGACAGGGAGATGTGAGGAAACACGTTGCTATAACGGAAATACTTAACAAAGAGCGCCATTGTTCGTGGCGCATTTATAGATCTGGGCCCCGATCTGAAACAGACCCTTAACTAAAACGTGTAAAACCTACAGACGTGTGTTTTCTTTAATCAGAAGCGACAGAGTGGCTCCGACCTGTTCAACTTCCTGAACGAACTTCACCTTGCACACAAGATTGAGGACGATCTCTCTGACGCCGACATGCAGGTGTTCTTGGAGATCTTGTACGCTGCTGAACACAATACCCTCACCCAGTACATTGACCAGAAGGGCTACGCAGCTGTCCTGGACCTTATGTCACGTATGTATATAATCCACAACAACCGCGTACTGTGGACAGGAATATCATGTATCTCTATGTTCCTGTACAAACACCTTTTCATCCAGGAGCAAATGTTATGAAAGTTGCTGAACGTTCATTTGGTTTCAAACTGCTACCACTTTTTTATCAGAGAACTTAGTACAAGTGCCCAGCAGTATGCCAGGATATCAAGCCTTGTCTCTATTTCCATGAAGATTTCATCAGAGTTACAACATTCAAGATCTCAACAAAGCTTTCTCCCACAAAATACAGTCCATAAACACTCGCTCTTAATGAAGCTGGAACCGTACATTCGACTCTGCTTTGAGAAGTGATTTCAAATGACTATGGACGGGGTTGAGTTTAGAAAGGGTTTGGGTTTTTCCAGAGTATTGTCACCTCTTCACTTCTTCTCGCCAGAATCTCCAACCATCACTTAACTGAAGAGGGAAATCCAGAACCTCATCTCGTTGGTCTTCAATATAGTATTACCCGGAATGTCATACTCCTGCCTCTCCGTGTATTGCTTCCCGGGACATCCAACAGTTGCTCTCTCTACTGCACTATCTGAAACCTCCTCCCGTAGCTCTTTACTGTTGTGCTCACTGAAGCCTCCATCCATTAGTCAGTCCGGAACTGCTTCCCAACCAATGTGTGCATTGAAGGAGACTGTCATTGATTGTATTTCTTATTTCTTTTTGCAGAAATTGATGACGATGAAGTTCACGGCTTTGATCAGCTGATCATTAGGGTAATCCAAACTAACAAACTCACGATAGAGAATCCTAAAAATCGTACATCAGTTGTTACATTATCATAGACACTTTCCTTCCTTCCTTCAATTCAGTCAGCCAGATTATTGTTTCCTAACACGTGAACACAAAATCATTCATTTCATGCCAAGTAGAACGTAAAAGTACCTGAGTGCAATCTTGAAAATTCCGCAAAGAAACTGTAGATTTACTGCAAAGGCGTAATCAAATAAAACTCTTACGGTTCATTTTGTCTGTTTCATTAGACTCCAAATACGCCCAAGGCACTGGAAGAAAAAGAAACATGAATTGGAAGAGAAAGAAAGTAGATTTGATGGGGCTGTGTATTTTCCAAAGTCTGCATCCATTTTAAGTTAATCTTTGCCGTATTCCAGCATCTGGAAATGGAGGCTAAGATGACGGAAACTACCGTCGGCACCATCGTTGTCACATCTCTTCCAGTCGTTGTCAGCACAGCTGCTCCAGTAGTTGTCAGCACAGCTGCTCCAGTAGTTGTCAGCACAGCTGCTCCAGTAGTTGTCAGCACAGTCATGGGGTGAACCAGACTGTAACATATACAGATCAACATTTTCCGATGGTAATAGTATTAAGGATATATCTGACAATTGACAGGTAATTACGGATTTTCCGTCCTAGAGATTTGGTTTCTTGTGACAGGAGCCTTTTCAAAATGACAAGGGAGTTATTCTGTGATTGGGAGTTACATGCTTCTGTCTGTCCTACCCACAGTAATTTTATTAGCAAGATTTTATTAGTGGTTTTCTGATTTAGGAAAACTTTCCACAAAACGATCAGAGCGCTACGGCTGTGGTAAACCTATAAAGACAGTTTCGAGCATCGTAACATGGTGATTGTTTTGTGGAACTAGCCCCGGCTCATTTCGACTATTGTTGAATAAACGTCGATTGTGACGTCACATGATATCACACTGCAGTAGGCTTTTGGAATAAAATTAACAAACTTACTGATAAAATGTTTAGGGTTCATATTCTGAGCAATATCCGTGCCTCTTTCATACTGGTGCAATGTCATTTAAATATGTGAACATTATATGGAGGATTAAACTATAATTGAAACTGGAAGGCCTTCTGCAGGAGTTGGTTGTTTGCAAGTATATTATCAATGAATGTTTATTCAAGTGTGTAATTCGTGTAACTATTTTCTTTGCAGATACACCATTGCCAGTTGTGAATAAAATGTGGGTAATGTCTGTATTGCTTTTACGTTTATCATTTCATCAGAAAAACACAGTCACAATACACAGTACATATATCTTAAGGTATAAAAGAGACAAGACATATCAAGTTGACCAGAGTGAAGTTGGATGGGTCCAAAAGTTTCGGTCCTGCTCCGACTGGGCACTAGTTATGAAACACAAGTGGTATATTTAAGTCTTGCATATATTTACCCATCAGCGAATTGGTCCTTGGGTTTGTGAAACGGGGCCTAAAAGTTGCTTGGATTGTGTAGTCAGCCTGGGTGGCACGTCTACCTATCGGGCCAAGGTTATTAAAGCGATAAAGCCCTTTTCACAACCATAAGATATCCTGCTAAAAGAAACGTATTGCACGGTTCTGGCTACATGTTCAGTCATTAGTGAATCACTATCAATTAGTGATGATGCCAGGTGATCGCGTGGCATCCTGTTGGCGATCAATAGCCCATTTTTACATTGTATTGTCTAAAATAGTGTTGTACTTTTAAAAATATATGCTAGCTAGTTTTAACTCTTTTTATGATTCTCTAGTTATTTTACAGTCCGTCGATGACTGGTTATTTAACTGCTTGTATTTATTGGGTATGTACAACCTATCTCACTATAAATGAAATATTGCCGAGGTGACGTTAAATTTTAACTCACTCACTCGCGTGGCATCCTTCACAAAGACACATAAATCATTTGTTCACCAGATGGTACAAGTCACGTCGCTGATGCGCCAACTTATAAATATTACCATAAAACATGTTCATTGTTTGTGTTCGTAACAACACAGGAATGATCGTATTCCGTTGCCTGGTCATCACCCAATGTACACTAGAGGGATCTCAAACCTGAGTTTACTGAGTGAAGAGTGAAGGCTGGACCCCACGCCTCTATCGAGGCAAAACAGAAATACATGTATCCGACTGAGCAAACTGTTGTTCTTTCAGTTTTCGGGAATTCCTGATAGACCAATGGCAGTCTCCAGCATGCTAGCCAAATAAAGGAGATTTTTATTGTGAAGACATAGCCATTTGCATGTAGAAGTGGGAGTCTTTCTAAACGACCAAAAATGACTTGATTGTCTGGCAAAACCTTGGCAAAACTAGAGATTCCACTTCTCTTTAAGGAATCTGCTTTACTACCGCCTGAAAGGTCGGTTATGGTCCATATTTATCTAATCAAATGTGGCAACTTCGTGAGGGTGTAGAAAAGTGTGTTGTCACTGTGGCTTTTAATTTTTTTCTCCACTATCAGGAACAACATTTCGTTTTAAAGAGCAGGTCATCCATACATCATTGATACATAAAAGCGACCCTCAATGTGGTCAAAGAAATGACGATCTTGTTCGTCTGCATTATCGTCTACAGAAACAAATCCAGATCTACAAAGGATCAAAAAGACAAGTCACTGATAAATCCATGAATGTGTTGATATCAGGTCAACCTAGCGATCATTTCAGGTGATACAGACCTGAACTTGACAGACGTGGCTGTCTGGTCCAGACCAAGGAGATTCGTCAACGTCTAGCTGGTGGTTGCAATGAACAAATACATTGTGAAAGTTGGAATAACAGTCCAATGCACAATTTTATAATTGCCAAGTGCGAAAAAGTAACTTTGCTGAAATTTTCGTGACAAACGAGGAAATGATGACACAATCAGACAAAGACACGTTTATTTATTTGAAAGCGTGTTAGAAACAAACAAATTATTCTAAAATCTACAAATCAGTACCCAGGTATTACAATGGCAGTACAAAATAGAGTGGCATTACAAGTCATAGGTAATATAATACAAGACCAGTGGCTGTACCGATTAGGACACCGAGTGTAATACTCTCCTATCATGAACAGTATTCCAGATTCAAAATATAATATAATGCAAGACCAGTGGCTGTACCGATAAAAACACCGAGTGTAATATTCACCTATCAGGAACAGTATTCCAGATTCAAAATATGGGTGTAGGCAGGGAATAGAATCACACAAAATGTTGGTCTTCTTGTGGCTTGAGATGTAATGCGAGATGCGTGGCAAGAGTTAACTCCCCTGTTATATCACAAAAAGCTGCCAGATCTTTCTATAATGTATTCTGCATCATAGGAGGGTTGGGGTACATTTCAGAAATCTGTCTAAATATAGCATAAGTCTAATTATTGAACATACCACTGCACCCTAACCAATTGCAACAGGTTCAATGTATCACATTCTTGCACAATGAATAACACTGCCTCATGCCATTGTATTTAAAATTTAATCATTTATTTAAGTATCTAAATTTGAAAAGAAAATTTACCCAACGTATTTGAGGGGGAGTGGGGAAGCATTAATGCAGACGAAACCGTAAAAAATTGAAGTAGACGGAATGACCAAATAACAGGGTTAAATATCCGTGGGGACGGAGTAATTTCATGGTAGGTGCCTCCAGGACTGATGACCCCGAACTGGCTGACTTCCAGTGTAGACGCATGAGGAATGGCAAGGAACTGTTCCCTAATGAGACTTGGTCAGATCCTCTTGTTTATTTGTTCGCTTGTTTAACGCCATAGTCAGCAATATTATAGTCCTGTTAGATCTGTAAATAACCAAGGCTGGATCAGGGAATCCCGTGATTGACATCAGGAGCATCAATATTCAAGGAATGACCTGTATCTGATCTGGGATGAACTTCCATCCGTCGAGTGTACCATAACTCGATAACGCCTAATTACGTTTCACCAAACCCCATCGGTTTTACCTGTCGTTGTAGCTTGTCTGGTCCAGTAGCTCACCAATCGTTCCCTTGTCTGGCCCTGTAGCTCACCAATCGTTGTAGCTTGTCTGGTCCAGTAACTCACCAATCTTTCTCTTGTCTGGTGCAGTAGCTCACCGACCGTTCTCTTGTCTGGCCCAGTAGCTCACCAATCGTTCTCTTGTCTGGCCCAGTAACTCACCAATCGTTCTCTTGCCTGGCCCAGTAGCTCATCAATCGTTTTCTTGTCTGGCCCAGTAGCTCACCAATCGTTCTCTTGTCTGGCCCAGTAGCTCACCAAGCGTTCTCTTGTCTGGTCCAGTAACTCACCAATCTTTCTCTTGTTTGGTGCAGTAGCTCACCGACCGTGCTCCTGTCTGGCCCAGTAGCTCACCCGACGTTCTCTTGTCTGGTCCAGTCCAGTAGCCCACCAATCGTTCGCTTGTCTGGTCCAGTAGCTCACCAATCATTCGTTTGTCTGGTCCAGTAGCTCACCAATCGTTCTCTTGTCTGGTCCAGTAGCTCACCAATCGTTCTCTTGTCTGGTCCAGTAGCTCACCAATCGTTCGTTTGTCTGGTCCAGTAGCTCACCAATCGTTCTCTTGCCTGGTCCGGTAGCTCACCCGACGTTCTCTTGTCTGGTCCAGATTCAGTTTTTCAGATGCTTCTGAATTAATACTTGAATATCACTGACTCAAGCGTAAACATCGCCAAGATCCGGTTTCGATTCCGTCCGCTGTTATTGTTATGGTGTAGTCTGCCCAGAAATGATCACATATTTAACACTGACGGTTATTGGTCACGTTTATCTGAGGAAACAACAGACAGACAGTTTATTCAGTTTGCGGGTAACATGGTAAAAGTACCAAAATTATCTACATGTCTCAAGCTTCTTGAGTTGCGAAAGTTATAACACATTCAAGCGTACATAAAATGCCGTTTGGGGCAGAGGGTAAAATATTTTTAAAAACTTGTCCAATGGAATCAACGAACATTTAATTGTCCTAGCGAAATGAAACAAGGAAATGTATAAAACGAACCTAATTAATGTTACAGAATGAGTGAGTGGGTGAGTGAGTTGTGTTTTACGCCGCTTTTAGCAATATTCCAGCAATATCATGGCGGGGGACACCAGAAATGGGCTTCACACATTGTACGCACGTGGGGAATCGGAGCCGGGTCTTCGGCGTGACGTGCGAACGCTTTACCACTAGGCTACCCCACCGTCCCGTTACAGAATGATGTGTGAACTTTTAACTACATGCAGTATGAAGAGAGCTGCTGTTGTTGTTATGTTTGTTATAGGTAGATGTCCTCTATTTGTCTCCCACACGAAACTAGCTTGCGTACAAGGTTGGAACTGTCTACATGAATACGGATGCAGGATAAACAGAGCTGGAACTGGAATTTGAACCACGACGATTTTGTTAGAGTAAACATGACAGCTCACTGTGATACAAACGGGTTTATGTCTTATTTATATGACTGGTGTATACAGTAACCTACGTTTATAACGAACTGGTTAATGGTATGTATAATTTAGTCGAAAAGCTTAAAACGACGTACCATCATAACGAACAAAAATAAGTGGTGCTTTTTAGTTCGATATTAGCGTAGTTTACTATAAGTCAAGTAACTGGATTTACTGATTCTTGGTCTCAACATGTATATAACAACGGAAAGTTCCCCACCAACCGATAGTTAATAACTGTGTGTCGTGCAGAATATTCCGAAGCATTATAGAAGAGTGTTGCTCCTATTTGCATAGAGCCAGAGCGCTATGACAATCTGTCAGTCAAAGAACTTCACATGTTTTTGAACTTTGGTGTGTATTCAGGCCTACTTTTTAACAAAGATGATTTAGCAACATATTGTAATGAAAACTGAGGTGTCTTATCTGATGCATAAGAGCAGTTTTACTATTTAACAAGGACATACTTGATATTACATCCTAAACACTCTATGATCGTAAGCTCGACGTATGATATTCCATAGACGATACATGCATATAGGTCATGTTATGACGCACATCATTTCATACATTCGCAGCCTTGCCTAATCTTATCGGTGCTTGAATTCGTGAAACATAAGTTGAGACTTTACTAAAATATGTGACAGGACATGTTCTTCTAGATAAGAGTTGGGATTGGCTTATGTAAAGTCTCAGCCTGTCAGTATTATTGAGGCAGGTTACCATTGTGTAATAAATGTTCGAATATTACTTATTACCAGCGTGGTTAATTAAGCAGAAAAATTACCCCTCCCCATGTCTTGTTTTTAGTAAGTGAGTGTAGGGGGTGTAAGTGAGTGAGTGTATGGGTGAGTGGGTGGGTGAGTGACTGGTGAGTGAGTGACTGAGTGAGTGAGGTTTTATGCCGCCTTGATATTGTTGGGATACTGTCACTTGTGGCAATAGCAATTCCTCATGATCCTAAACAGAGATTTATGAGTAAAATCAAAACGAAAATTGTGCCCTATATCCAGAATTCGAAGCAGCATTAGATGGTCAGGTGAGCTTCAAGAAGCCTATCCTGTTTCTTATCACAGTTTAAATAGGGGTAGCGCGCCACTGAAAGTAGAGTGGACTTCCCAGCAGTGAAACACGACAGGTATTGGACTTTTTACTCTCCTACTGTATAAACTCTGAAATGGTTTTCTCATTTTTAATGTATTGGTTGGTGCAACAAATATCCAGTTGCCCTGTAACATGAAATTATTCTTTATATTTTTGGGTTAATGCAAATTAGCAATAGTAATTTTCGGAGCACCGTTTTCAGGTACAGACGAACTGATTTTACACTTCATAATGAAAACTGTGTAAAAGATACCTTGCCTTTCATTCAATGTAAACGTATATTCGGCGTGCTTGACAAAAAAAACAATGCCTGGATTGTTGCAACGTCTTCGAGTTGGATTCTTGCAAACCGAAACATGAGTCTCATTAACCTATTCAGACAATGACCTACTTTTCAGCCGATCCGAATTTTCTCGTGTGAAAGTAAATATAGACATCATAAACAACTATGGTTACACTGAATTCAAATTCCTTGTTTCATAAGAAAATGGTATTTACAAATGAATTTTAATTTTATGTATCTATATTTTATGGAGAAGTGTAGGCAGCATGACGTCACAGACTGCCCTTGTTTGATGAGGTCGTAAAATGATTCACAATGCATCTGGCTCACTGGTTACACCTGTTGTGTGTTTTTTTGCGCTTATTCAGTGTATTTCTGTACGCACAATGTGTGATTGATATCATATCAAGTCCGTACCAGACTGCCAAACTTTTCTTGTGGCAGAGCCTCGTTTTGAGATTTCCACGATATCCAGGTTTCCGTTTGTCAGTGTTCGCTGCACGACATGTTTGCAAGGATTATGAGGAGCGTAGTGTTGCAATATACAAGTGCTAAGATGTATCAAATACTACTGATTAATATTTATGTATCCAGTTAAATGAATTGGTCTCAAAATTCTGGACTGGTCATTGTACTAAGTTGCGCAATAGGACGGAACCCAGTCAACAGGAAACGAGGCTGTTGTGTAATCAATGTTTTGACTTGTGTCCATTGTGACAAGTACCTTAGAACATCTTTCTTATCAAACGGATTATTAAAAAATAATGTTTATTGTGAAAGGTCATAGGCCCATAAACGTGAAGTGTACAATACACGATATAGGATAAAATTTTTTTTAAAAACACCAATACATTTCAGTCCGTTTCTGCCCTTGAAGGAACATTTGGAGGAATTGTATTTTTAGCCTTGTACATCCAACTCGAGCAGGAGCAAAGTCGGTTGCAAATGTCCACAAGGTCGAATCGATTAACTGTATCTCTGCTCAATTTAAAATTTGTATTACATGCATATCTAATTATAGATGCTAATATATTTGTCCATTCTTGGATGTACATATCTTATAATCTGGTTTGACAGAACCGACATTTCGTAAGCCTAACGCGGAAGTCTAATAGATGGTATGTTACGTAGATTTAACCTGCAATCGTTGAATTCCCAAGATGGGTTTAATTTTTCAATCATATTTGTTTCGAGTGGGACTTTTCCATATGTCCAAACTAATTTGAAAACATTCATTAATGCCTTTTTGCGAATTTAACGCCAAATCCGATACCGCTCTTTATGATGGAGTCATCAATAGTCCAAGGTACGTATATTCTGAAATAACATCTACAATTTCATAACGATAATTACCATATTTCACATTGTTTAAGATTTCCAATTTTACAATTACACTAAACGCCAAAAGAAACGTTACCCTCCTTCCTTAATGACGGAGGTGCCTATCTTCAGCTGGCGTTGTGGTGCGTGGACGTCCACTTCTTGGTCTGTCTTCGGTGACCCCGTCTGTCTGAACCTGAACCGTGATACGGGGGCATCCGAGGGCGAGGCAAACGGCATTGTATGTCGACCCCACATGCAACATCCCAATGGCTCTTTCTCTCTCTTCAGCTGTTAATCGTGGCATATTTCTCGTACTTGTGTATCATATCCTGTATTCTAGGCTCTCTTTATACCCTATAGAATCATTATACATGTGAAATGGATGCAAATACTGCTTGAATATTGCTGCGTTTTGGCGATTGATACTTCTATGTGTAAACAGAAAATGGAATAATGTTACTTTGCAAGCAAAAATGTTAACAAAGATAATTTTGGATGTTCCTAAACATTTTTTCAAAATATCAAAGACACGTTTTACTTGTTTTCACTAATACAAATCAGCAGAAAATGTTTTAAAAGACTAATATTACAATATTACACACTCTACAACAGTTGTTTTATGTTTTAATAGTTGAAAATGGTGACTTTAAACGGTTTATCATTGTCCCAAAGCAGAATTTTTTTTCAACCTTTCTTTAGACATCAGAATCACTGTTATTGGTTTATTTCGGCATGGACGAATATAGGACAATTTAACTCTTCTGAAAAAGATCCATTTCACCTAAATATGAATGCATTTTAGAATGTTTTTTTTCGTGATTTGCACAAAGCTTTCTTGTAAAACTACTACCTTCTAAGATATCTTTGATAGTTTTTCAGTTATTCATAAAGGTAGGAGGGTAACGTTTCTTATGGCGTTTAGTGTATGTTTGTTTTCGAAAGGTAAACATTTAACTTGAAGTTGAATAGTGGTCTTCCAGAATATTCGTTGCTCTTGTAGCCCACTTTTTCGGTCAGAAATAAAACTTACTCAGTAAACATCAGTAGAAACAGTTCATGTAAATCAGGGAATAAATGTATTGCTCATCGACATGTATATATCGACAGTCAAGTCCTTGATAAAACGGGTAAACAAAATGGGGCTTAATACATAGCCCTGTTGTATTCTAATAGGACAATCAAAACACTCAGTAAAACCAACATTACATGTTGTTACGGACGAATACATTAACGAAATCATATTCAACATTATAACAGGTAGACCGTATTTTTGGAGAACATAAATAAATTTATTTGAAGTCGATAAAGGCAACAAAGAATGCATGCCTCTACGTTTACTTAAACATGTTTGTATTCAAGCAGTTAGTGTGAAGCATATCCAATCCTAAAGTCTGCTTATTCTTCACTTATTTTGTTATCATTTTCTGCTGTGTTATCAATCTGCAATTTATTATTGTGCAAATATCTTATTTTTATCTTATCGTATATAACATATATCTTATAGATATATTATATATCTATTATGAAACTCCTTGAATGTTATTACAGAAGCTGGACCCCTACATGCATCAGCGATGCAATTCCCTATTTTGTCTGGTACCATTATTTCAGGTGAACAATTGACTAGACTTTGCAAATGTTTAGGACGGGTGCCACCGGTGGGACAGGACCTTTTCGCGAACACCTGTTTTTGTCACTATTCCATGGTGATTCATAAACACATGCTTTGTCATCGTATCACATGGTGACAATCACTGGCTTGTCTGGTCCAAACTAGATTTGTTTACAGTTGTAATACTGTAATAGTACTGAAACAAATATATACTCATGATATAGTCACAATTGTACAATCGACTCTGCTTTTAGCAGAGATTTCTTATGAATGTGCAAAGGGATTTGTCGCTTCTATTGCGATAACGAAACACATTTTCTTCCTCAGTACAATGAACCTTCTACTTGTTGCTGTGGTAGCAGTGGCGGCTGTCATGGCCGACGATCACCACCACGATTACACCGACCCTTCTAAATTCGCTGACTACCTGAAGGATATAGAGAAGACTCACGAGTTCTTCAATATGGCCCCAACTGAAAAACTCCTCTTCAGTGAACTCATCATGGCTGCTGAGCAGGGCAGTGCCGATCTTACAGCCTTTATCAAAGCCCAGACCTTCGACAAGATTATTCGTCTCATTGATCGTATGTCTGCATTTGTGTTCGTTTATATTCTCATGGAGGTTTAGAACAGTTGGCATCCCTACCCAATTCATTCAGTCATTCAAGTCATTTCTTACTGACAGTGTCTCAGATGGACACAAGTCACTTTTTACAAACATTATCTCAGGTGGACACGAGTCACTTCTGACACACAGTGTCTCAGATGGACACAAGTCACTTATTACACAAAATGTCTCAGAAGGACACAGATCGCTCCTTACACACAGTGACTCAGATAGACACAAGTCACTTCTTAAACACAGTATCTCAGATGGACACAAGTCGCTTACGCCCAGTGTCTCAGAAGGAAACAGGTCACTTCCTATACACAATGTCTCAGATGGACACAAGTCATTTCTTACACCCGGTGTCTCGAATGGACACAAGTCACTTTTTACACATTGTCTCAGATGGGCCCATGTCACTTTTTACACATTGTCTCAGATAGACACGCGTCACTTCTTACACTCAATGTCTAATATGGACACAAATCACTTCTTACACACAATTTCTCAGAAGGACACAAGTCGCTTCTTTCACACAATGTCACAGATAGACACAAATCACGTTTTACACACAGTGACTCAGATGGACACAAGTCTCTTCTTACACACATTGTCTCAGATGGGCACAGGTCACTACTTACACACAGTGTCTCAAATGGACACAAAATCACTAATTGCAAAGCCAAGACTCAGATCAAGAAATGGTCAAAGTTTGTTATGTAGATTCCTAGAAAAAGAGAACAGCATTGATAATGCTAAAATGATAATCTGGAAGATTTTATGCAATAGAATTTCAACTTATGACAGTACAGTATACCCTGGTTATAATGCCACCATTTGGCATTATATCCAGGGTGGCATTATAACCAGGTAGGACAGTTCGAGGTCCTGTGCAATCAACAAAATGATTAAGCTGATGTCTCCTGTGATGAGCCTTGAATGACTGGATAATCATAGCATCTTGAGGCTGCATGTGTCTTCTTGCTGTGGGTGACTGGAAGTGTATTGACACATGTCGCATTAATGGGTTTGGTCAATTAACCAATTATGGTATGTATACTACATGCAGCCTGTGTAATTGGCATTATAACCAGGAGAAAATGACTTTTGTTCCCAAAACCATTGGCAAATGGCATTATATCCAATTTGGCATTATAACCAGGGTATAATAATGGCAGGAAATCCGTTCTTGCAAAATCGTGGCATTATATCCAGGGGGGCATTATAACACGGGTGGCATTATAACCAGGGTACACTGTATATATTTTTCATATCCACAGTGACATATACGATATAATCACTCTGGACAACAAACAATAAGCCTTTACCAGATGAATTATATCAATTTTATCTGGAAAAACGTTTGTAGAAAAATAGAATTAAGAAAGAAAGTGTATGTCTTCAAGTGTAGTAAACACGGGGCGGTGGGGTAGCCTAATGGTTAAAGCGTTGGCTCGTCACGCCGAAGACCCGGGTTCGAATCCCTACATGGGCAGAATGTGTTAAGCCCATTTCTGGTGTCCCCCGCCGTGATGTTGCTGGAATATTGCTAAAAGCGGCGTGAAAACCAAAACTCAGTCAGTCAGCTGTAGTAAACACGTTACTAAACAAGATATTTTCTCCCTATTCATAACCTTTTGGGCATACATGCCATCCTTATGAACGCTTATATAAACCGATATCCACTGATATAGTACTCACAGAGATTATAGAATCTGACCTCGTGGCAGGGAGAACACAACCTTTATCTTTATACACCTTTCCAACATCCACATGAAGTTGAAACGTTGCACAAATGTTTGATACACCTTCAGATTTGGACGAGGACGACATTCCCCACTTTCAAGGTTACCTTGCCGCTGTAAGTATCGTGATACTTTTTGATCATATAAAATTGCAACAACTTAACAACTGCAAATGTATCTATTTGACTGTTCCTACTACTACTTCTACTTCTACCACTACCACTACCACTACTACTACTACTACTTCTACCACTACCACTACCACTACCACTACCACTACTACTACTACCACTACCACTACTACTACTACTACTACTACTACTACCACCATCACCAATCACCACCACCACCACCACTACTACTACTACTACTGCTACTACTACTACTCCTACTACTACTACCACTACTACTACTACTACTCTTCTGTTTCAGCATCTGGGAGGAAGCATATTCGGGGTAAGAACAAACCTTAGTCTTGTGTTCAATCAGTCATTAAAGGATAAATATACTGCAGTATGCGACAAAAGCAACAAAACCTTTTCCAAAATCGTAAGAATCTGTACGATCCCGAATTTATCATGAGCAACTGTTCATAAATCACTATCAAATAGTGATGATAACAGGTGTTCGCAATAAGGTGAAAGAATCCTGCCAAAGCTCGACAGTCTTTACAGGTGATGTGTATGATAATTGTTTATCCGAAAATGAACCTATGGTTCTAAATAGGAAATTACATCCTTTTGTCACTGATACGCTGATTTTCCATATGCTATCTGCACGTCCACTACAAAACTTTATTATACTCTAAAGCTTTATTAACCCTGTAACCCTGATAAAAACAGCAAATGTCGTATGACGCCCTATGGAAATTTTGGCCGAAACAGCGTGCTTGATTGTACCTCAAAAACTGTGCCACGTAGAAGCCTGTAGCTGCTGGAATATTTACTGGATATAGTATATATAGCTGGGAAGGTTGAGTATTGGAACGCTGAATCCTTCCTGCTTTCATACAGTCTTGTGGATCATACTCTGTCAGTCTTTGTCGTTATGAATCCCTTCCTGCTTTCATACAGTCTTGTGGATCATATTCTGTCAGTCTTTGTCGTTATGAATCCGTGAAGATCCGGGTTAAAATTGGGCTTCAGTAACCCATGCTTGTCGTAAGAGGCAACTAACGGGATTGGGTGGTCAGGCTCGCTGGCTTGGTTGACACATGTCATCGTATCCCAATTGCGAAGGTCGATGCTCATGCTGTTGATCACTGGATTGTTTGGTCCAGACTCGATTATTTACAGGCCACCGCCATATAGGTGGAATATTGCTGAATGCAGCATTAAACAACAAACCAACCAACCAACTTGATCTTTGTGCACAGATCTATATAGTGTCCATTCGTCACCACTTTTTCCGTAACCTGCAAAAGAAGACTCGTCCCCGGCTCGATGCTTCTTATGTGCGAAAAAACGACAAACCAATCAGAACGCCCGTAGTGATTGCGGTTCCTTTATATAAATAATCCTGAATACTTAATTCGTTTGTGGCATTATGTCATTGTTTATAAAATCTTGAAAATATGTAACGTCATACAAGGAACGTAGCTAACAAAATAGTTTGGGCTCATGTGTAGTTTTTAGTAAGGATAACGCCATGAAAGGTGAGAGATTCAAATCCACGCACGTGCGTTTGTTTACATAATGGCTGTCATGGGTCCGAGTGAGTGTATTTCAAACGTTCTTGCGGTCTTGTTTTGGAGATTGTTCGTGCGCTTTCCAACATATTTACAATCGCTAAATATATATTGTTTCAAATTTCTGCATTTTTGTAAACAAGATAATTGTGAAACCAGTAAAATGGTGTTTAAACTTGAGAAGTTTCTTAAGTATCCTACCACTGAGACAGTCGGTGAATTGCGCAAAACAGATTTATTGCGAATTTCTGCACATTTCGAACTTGAGTTCAAACCTGCTATGAGGAAATTTCAGATTTTGAAAGTTGTGTTGAATCACTATATTGAGGAGGGAGTTTTGGGACATGAAGTTTTGGAAATGGTTAAAGAAGAATGTTCGGACCAATTGGAAATGAAAAAATGAAGTTCAGTTACAAATTCAAAAAATGGAGAAAGAAATAACATTCAGAAAAGAATTCGGAATTTGACGAAAGAAAATTGGAAATTGTCAGAGAAATTGTGCTGAAATGTTTCAAAATCCTTCTCCTCCCTCAAACCCTTCCTCTTTCGCCATTGCAAGGCACGCCAGACTGGTATCCTCTTTCAATGAATAAAAAGTAGATAAAGATTTTCTACATTTTGAAAAAAATGCTGAAACCTCAAGTGGCCTAAAGAGTCATGGACTATGCTATTGCAAACTGTTTTGAAGGGTAAAGCTCAGGATGCATATTCGGCCTTATCCATAGAGCAAAGATCAGATTATGATCTTGTTAAAAGGACCCTTCTTAAAGCTTATGAGTTAGTGTTCTAAGCTTACGATCAGAAATTCAGAAATGCTCATAAAAGTGACAATGAGACGTTTGAAGAGTTTGCAAGAGGGAAGGAAACTTTGTTCGATAAATGGTGTGGTTCTAAGGAGGTCACAGATTTTGATGGTTTGGGGCAGTTAGTTTTGATAGAGGATTGAATGAACATACGGTTGACGTCTTGCATGAGACAGTGATGTTGGCAGATGACTAGTGTGTGACTCACAAGAGTTCTTTTCCGTCTCCAGGTAATACCAAGTTTTCTGGCGTTTCCCCGGGTAAGATTTCAGGACATGCAGGTTACAGTGGTGTTAAAACAGGTTCAAATTCTTCTGACAAGCAGTCACATTCTTCTCAGTCTAAGTCTAAGACTTCCAGTGGTTCTGATCCTGTTTGTGCATATTGTAAGAAGCCAGGCCATTTGATTTCTGCATGCTACAAGCTCCAGTTTAGAAATCAGGCTGCAGGTTCCCCAAATGCTTTTGTGTCTATCGCACCTAAGAATTCTTTCCAGGTGGTTCTGAGGAGAGTTTAGTTTATAAGAGTAAGTCCCCAGATTTTGTAATTTGGAAGGAGTAGTTGCCCTTCGTTTCTAAGGGTTCTGTGTCGCTTACAGGAGATAATTCCACCCCGCGGCCAATTGATATTTTGAGGGATACTGGAGCTCTTCAATGTCTGATTTTAAAGGATATTTTGCCTTTTTCTGATGAGTCTTCAGCGAACTCAGGTGTTTTGCTTCAGGGTATAATTGGCAATTCCG